TATACTGTCAATCTCATTTCCTAGATCCATTTTAATGATTTCTTATTAAAGCTTATTACTCTAGCGGTTTGTTATATTCGTTCTCTCTATTTCATCGTAATGGAACATACTCTATATTCTCTCTGGAGTGAGCTATTATGTCATTAACAGTATTTCTTTAACTATGAACGTTGCTCGTGAACCATCTTTGATTCATTACTTGTTGTCTTCGAATTTAGTTGCTTTAGGGTCACTGACTTACCCAAATCACTGTGAGATTGAGCTTACGGCCATTATCCCCTCTATACGGTATATTGTCTTCACTGAAGTAAGTTAAGCAGCGTAGCTACTACCTGACTATTGTTTTTTTTGTAGCTTCTTTTTGAGGATGTTTTTTTGGTGTGCGGTTTTTAATGAGGCAAAGCTTTTACTTGAATTATACTCACTTTGGTTTTCCATTTTATATTGAACATTTTCACTCCTCTACAGTGTCTGCAAACCGTGCATATGTATTCCAAAAAAAAGGTTTTCAACGCAGCGCACTCTGCTTCAAATACTCGGTCGACATAGTCGCTGGTAGAGTCGATAAGTTGAGCAACCATGGATGGGGTTTATACTTCGTTTTCTCTAGGTGACGCCGTACAGTGCGCATCGAAGACGCCATTGCAGTTGAAGAAGAGCCAAATGAGACCGTCCGCCATCGTGCGCGACAATTGTAGTTATGTTCATTCACTTTAGGAATGATTGAGGAAATCATCGGCACATATTTCTACAAAAAATTAATATGATCATAATGTTACAGTCAATGGGGAATGCAGTGGAGCCCTGATTAATGACATTAACAATGACTTGAATTGGAGGATATTGAAGGTGTGACCTTTGGTATCAAAAAGACGTTGCTAAATGCCATACGTGAAACGAAGGAAACAATTTATTGAAAGAAACTTTAGATGAGCACATTATCACGCGCAGTGGACCAATGATGTTATGTGAAGTAGCTTGACTACAGAGATAAGCCGGTCAAGATTTGCGCCTTGGAAAAAAATATGGGCCCAATTGCTGTAAAAAGTGGCCTCTCAGCTGAAATTTATTCGAGCCAGCCGCAACGGTCACTTGGCCGAAATCTGTTTTAAACCATAACGGTAAACCTCTTTTTTTGATAATAAATATACATTTTACTTGCATTTTTTGTTAGATTTTTTTTTTTGGATAAAGCTGCCATTTTATTTTAAAACTTTTGAAATGCTTTTTTTTATTTAGTTAGCAAACTTATGAATGCAACCTTCATTTTCAATATCGATACTGTTCTTGAAGCCTCTTAGGTAGATGAAATTAAAAAAAAATATAGAAAGAACTGGTTCTGATTTCAAAATTAAGCCTAAGATGACTTATTATCTTTTTTCTAATTTTAATTGATATGCCAATGCAAACTATATAAAATTTTTTATTAAACCATAAAAGAATTCTACTAGATAAGATAAGATTGAAAAGCTTCAACTGAAGTTCAACATTGTAATTAAAAAACGCCACTCAGAGCGCAGCTGCGAAACAACAATATTGGCTAATGTCATCTGCAAACTAACGAAATTATTTTTTTGTTTTTGTTTTTTTGCTGTAATTGTTGTAATAAAGAATGTACTTTAGGCCGTTTTGACGATTTTGTTTTCCTCTACTTGTTGCCCAGAGGTAGGTAGATGACCGGTTGTTAAGTTGCATACCAAAGCAAATACGCAATTTTCAATTGTATATGTTTAATGCTAAATTTGGTCAGAATGCAAATTTTATGAGAATTTTTCGCGTATCTTTATTACCAAAAATATATAAATATATAAATATGTATGCATATGTTTGATGGTATTTATAATTACTTGAAATTCAGCGGTGCCGAAGTATCTACGAGCATAATTTAGTGGCTCCTTCAGAAAAACCAAAAAAAAAAAAAAAAAAATAGTAATAATATTAATGTCGAACATTTAAAAAATAAATGCCAAACCACTAATTGCTGTTAATTTCTGTATATAACATTGAATTAAATTGACTTGATATTGACTTTAAGTCACTGGTATTTAGTCTGCGCGATCATATCACTGTCAATCAGTCGTTTATACTTCATCCTACCGATCTGCATTGGAAGCAAAGCTGACAGATCTCGATTAAAAGTCAAAGTCTTTGTAAATGTAAGATTTTTTAGTAATTGAAAATATTCCGATTTAAATAAAATAATATACAACGCTTTTGTAAGTTTTAAAATTTAGTAATTAAAACCGGAGGGAAAATAAATCATTTACTATTTAGCCGCTCAAATAATTGCAAGTTTATAAAGACGAGGTGGGAGCCTGCTTCTTGAAAAAATTTTCCAGTATCAATCGGATGACCTGGTTTATGCCTGAAGAAAAGGCAAAGTGATTGATCAAGGGACTAAGTCGGAAGAAGAACTTGCAAAGTACTCCAGCCCCCGCTATGGCGGATTGCTTTTAAGATAAGTTTTTGTGAATTTATATTTTTGGTTTATCCTTCACTCAAAATTTTAACTGAATTTCAATAGACTGGCACTTTTCAAGAAGGTGTCTGGGATAGATTGCTGATATCGATAAATACAATTTTTCTTAATAAATTTATCACAAAAATTAATATTAGCCCAAGTAAAAGGTTCATTCGGTTTTCATCTAAGAGATGGCGTTATTGTCTAGTGTTACGTGTCGCATAATGTCATACTATACGGCGTTGAAAGCGTGTTTATTCGCGCGAAAAGTTTGACTTTGACAGTTTTTCGATTGATTGACTCAGTACGTTGTGAACGCTCGTCAAAGATGGACACCAGCAAAGAGAAAATTCGCTATGTTTTACAATTTTTCTTCGATCAAGACGAAAAAGCAGCCAAAGCGGCTGAAAAAATTAATTTAGTTTATGGGTTCGATGCTGTAAAGGAACGTGTGGCACAAAAGTGGTTTGCTAGGTTCCTTTCTTGTAATATCGATGTCGTCGAAAATTGTGATAATATCATGGAAATAGTGGAAACCGACCGTCACGTGAGCACTTATTTAATTGCTGAGGAACTAAAGATAAGCCAGAAAATCGTTTGAAACTATTTAAATAACCTTGTATTAAAAAATAAGCTCGATGTTTGGGTGCTACACGAACTAACGCAAAAAAACAAGATGGATCGAACTTCCATCTGCAAATCGCTGCTGAATCGCAACAAAATCGACCTGTTTCTGAAGCGGACTGTGACTGGCGATGAAAAATAGGTCACTTACGACAACATCGAGCGCAAACGGTTGTGTGCATAGCTCGGGGAAGCGGTCCAGACGGTGGCCAAGACCGGATTGACAGCCAGGAAGGTTTTGCTGTTTGTTTGGTGGGATTGGCAAGGAATCATTTACTACGAGCTGTTTGTTTGGTGGGATTGGCAAGGAATCATTTACTATGGCCAAACGCTCAATTAAACCCTCTATTGCCAGGCACTTATCCAGAAGTGGCCATCTTTGATCAACAGAGGCCGAATCGTGATTCACCACGACACGCGACGCCAGGCCACACATGTCTTTGGTGACGCGCCAGAAGCTCCAAGAGCTCGGATGGAAGGTCCTAATGCACCCAACTTATAGTCCGGACTTGGCATCAAGCGATCATTATCTTTCCCTGTCCTTGGAGAACGCGCTTAATGGTGAGAAGTTTGCCTCAAGAGATGCCTGTGAAAAATGGCTCTCTGAGTTTTTTGCCAATAGGGACGCAGCCTTCTACGAGAGGGATATAATGAAGTTGGCATCTCGTTGCTGCAAAGTTTACCACAAATTTTCAGTAGAAAATATGACAAGCAAAAGACAAAATTAATACTCTTGAGCGCACTTAATACCTTTTTTGCAATTTTTATTTTCAATTTGTTAATTTATATCAAAGACTTGTTCTAAAGCGCTTTTAAATTAAGAATAATTCAATAATAAATCATTGAAGGCCGTTTGATGAGTGGTTAACATTGCGTTAGTGCGTCTTTTACCATACAAAATGCGCTTTTTTGTCAACTTTTTGTTAACGATTACCACTTCATTTATTTACTATTGTTGTTGTTGGTGTTGGAACTGTTACGGCTGCTGACGCTGCTGCTGGTAAATGCATTCAAATAAATTAGAATTGCAGAAAATTTGCAAAAAACTTGAATTGCACAGCGACATGTGCTTCTGCGATGACAGCGCCAGCAGCGTAGCCAATCATTTAATTGTTTCCCCCACACAATACATTGTTTGGCATCTCCGATCGCAGCGAAAACTTATGACAATGCGGCGATAGTAAAAATTTCTAAATTATTTGCGTAAATCAGCGCATGCTGACCATTATTTATTATTAGTAACTAATTTTAATTATTTACATATTAACAGACATACATGTGAGTCAATATTCTTGTACCAAGTGCATCCCGCCCGCGACCCGGCTTGCATTTGCAAACAAGTCAAACTGCTGTTGCAGTCACAGCAGTCACGGCAGTTGTTGCTGTTGCCGTTTTGCAAATTAGCTGCTGCTGGTTGCAATGCAGCAGTTACCGCTGACTGCCGACTGTTGTGTGGACACCATGGCGTATGAGCGGGCGCGTGCGCGTGCGCTTACGCTTGCACTCTGCATTAATGCATAACGCTGCCAATGAGACCACAATGTCTTTACGATTACCAATTCGTAATGGTACGTCAACTACAAACATATATGTATGTTGGGGTACATATGTACATGAATTTTGGTCTTTGCACATTTTTTATGCATTCATTGGCCTGTTTGCTAGCAGTTTAAAGATATATAAAATAAAAAAAAAAAAAAAATAGAAAAACAGATAAAAATCGAAAAATATAGAAAAAATGATCATGTTGGCGCTTCTTCTTTGGCACTGCCTTATTAAGCTCCTCTGGTTATTTGCAGATTCTAAATACATTTGCTGCACTCGCGTATGCGTTGACGCGTGCCATATACACTATGTATGTAAGTATGTATTTAAGCGCATTTGATCGGTCTCAAGACTATAAAATGCATTTGCACTGCACTGCAAAAATTATTCTTGCCTACCTTCGAGCAAGCAAGACGTGCAATTACCGCATTTAATCGGTAGCGTTGAAAAAGCTAAAAGAATTTTTTGTATCAAAACGAACGCACGCAGTCGCCTTAAGTGCAACACAAAAATAAAAGAAAGTGAAATTCTTTGCGTAATCAAAGTTAATACTTATTTTTCTTTTGCCAATATGAAATTGGTAAGTGAAAGTGCATACAAATTGACAAAGGATAATGGATATTTTATGCCATTCCGGCTTGTTCTAGTGTTAATAAGGACTTTTGTTCTCTTCACATAGATGCTAGTCTTGAGTTTCTTGTGCCTGCTCGTCTGCAGTTTGGCTGCACCACAAGCTCCTGTGGAAATTTTGGAACAGGAAGTGGACAATATTGGCATAAACGGTTACAAGTTTAGGTAAGCTAAGCGGGAGGTTTGCGGTTAGATGCGATTCCTTGTGGATATCTAATAGCCTAGTACGTGAAGATCATTATAATGACAACGAAGATTTTGAAATTATATTGCGAATTGTTATATTAAGTTTCATCAAGGAAGCTCTCTCTTTTCGAAGAGTGTGCCTAAGAGATGCATGGATACGTTTGGTATTATGTCGTGGGTCGTTTTGTGGGAACTGGGGTAGTGAAGAGTGGGCTGTGAAAAGCTTCGCTGTATATAGAGGTACATAAAGCACTCTCTGGTTTGCATAAATCTTGTTCCTATATTCACTTCAAGATCCGTTTCATCTGCTTTAAGTCATTCATCAGGATGAAAATGATAAGTAACTTGAGGATTTCACTCTTACTGCATAGCGATGTTTAAAAACTCACGAAAGCGCTAACACTTTTAAAAAAGTCTAGAGGCTAAAATATTTTTTTTGTAAAATACCACTGCGGCTGAGTGCTTAGCAGTCACTGCAGAAGCCAGCGGTCGAGTGCTAAAATACATAATTTCTTTAAATGAGGTCCTTAGTGTATATCTCCTTGACGAAGTTTACAGCATTAAGAAAGTACATTTCTCTAAAATACAGTACTGAAAGCCATAGAAATTCAGAAGATCTCTCAAAGCAGTCCGTACATTGATATATTCTTTTCAATCATTTTATTTCATAAATTTCTATGATTTCCATGACCCAAATAACTGAAATTGTGTAAGACAGCAGAGCTCAATGGATTAAAAATGGAATTACCAATCCTTCACTCACATGGAACTACTAAGAAATTGTATAATTGATGTTCGAGCGTTCTAAGTGACGCTGACAACCCAAACTCTTATAAAAGATGCGCCACCTTGAAAGAAGAGGTGATGATATTAATTCTTTCATGAATTTACGGGCTCATTATCTCAAGAAAGGAAATCTGAACCTTCGAAAAAATGTCAGTTTTGAACTACCCAGTTTGTTACTTAGCGTTTATATGGCTTGAAATTGGGACCACTGCAGCTAGTTCAAGTTATCCGAAGCACATCTAGATGGAAAAGATTATCCTATCAGTTGACTTGTGATATTTTCGCAAGATTGTAGTCAGGAATAATCAGTATTTTTCTTAATTGCTTAACAACCACTGAATCTTGAGTTCCTCCTACTACTTGGGGTGTGCGTCTTAATGCTTTTCCAACAAATGGAGGGACTTACAGTTTATTCTAATTGTTTCCGAACTGCCGCTGGTTGTTTATGAGAGCTTTTTTCATGTCAGAGATACACTCGGACTCGATTGACATTTTCTTGCGAGAGGCACAATCAGGTTTCGAAACTGGAATCCTCTGCTTACTCACCGACCACCACTGAGGCTACTGCGTTTACCTCACGTGCTCAAAGCCGAGTCAATAAAAGTACGCCAATCTTGTATTTTTAGCTGTTTGTCACCAATTGCACTCAAAAAATGACGTTAGGTTACTGACCATTTGATATTTTTAATGGGCTTCGTCTTTCCCTGTTTCCAACCATCAAGTACTACATCGAAAACTTTCGAAGCCGGAGGCGCTTTAATCGATCTGAGCAGCCACTGCCTCTTATATCGCTCAGTTTTGACAATGGCTCCATATATATCATATATTGTAGCTTATCATACCTGAACACAGAGGATCATAAGCCCTTGCAAATCCTTTCCATCCCTATATCGCCACCAGATATTGTAATTGCCCAAGCCTCAACACCAACTAGTAGAGTTTGCTCTCGGAAGATCTACTACGAAAAAAAATTGAAGAATACGTAGCTAAGTTTACAAATTTCATAACCGTCAATTTCCATCTTCTCTTTCTCAGCTACAAGCTAAGCGATGGCACCACACGCACCGAAGAGGCTGTACTCAACAACGCTGGTACCGAAAATGAATCGCTCTCAGTACGTGGCAGCGTCTCATGGGTGGCGCCTGATGGACAAACTTATACCATTAACTTTGTAGCCGATGAAAACGGTTTCCAACCCGAGGGTGCACATATACCGAAATAAGAACACGAAATTGTTAATAAATATATACTAAATCATGAACAAGGTACAAGTATGGTAAAACGAAGAGAAAAAGCTAACTTTTATATGAATATAACGAACAGAATGAAACATTCATATTAACGCGATTTAAGTATGAATGAAAGTCTTCCTGGTTGGAGATGTGTTGAATAAAGTTGTAAATAGCAGATGTTATGTGTGTGTGAAAACTAAATGTAAAACTAATACATAAATAAATACAAAATAAATTGTAACGGTCTCAGTCAGTGTCAAAAAACAAGAAAAGTGACTTTTATTTTTAGATTTTTTTATACAACAATTACACAATACAAATTACTTAACTACAGAAGTTAATAGAGAAATATTTACAAGCTCAGCCGAGCATATTTATATAGACAGTATAAAACTTCAAAAAAATATTTATGAAAAATTTCATGTATTTAGAAAAGATCATAGCATAAATTTGCTCTTTTAACTACCCTCAACCTAGCACTTTGCGGCTTTCTCTAAGCCTTTGGCAAATGCTCACCCTCCGGCTGGAAACCATGCTCATCAGCAGTGTAGCTCACTTGATAGGTAACACCATCATCACCGACATATTTGTAGGAGCCCTTCACAGCAATCGCCTCATCGTCGGTGCCCACATTCTTAAGCTGACCCTGCTCATCATGTTGTGTGCCATCGCTTGTCTCGAAACCGTATTTATAACTTTCGGGTGCAATATCGGCATCTTGGCGCACGATTTCCACATGATGTTCAGCAGGCGCAGGCGGTGCGGCGAAGGTGTGCGCAACGAAAAGTGCGAAAAGTACGAAAGTGATAACGAATTTCATTTTGTGGAGTTTACTTATTCGAAAGTAGCAAGAAATTTATTTTGGAAAATTTAGACACTATTGATTGGCAGAACTGCAGCTGCCTTTTGACTGTCAAATTTATGCAAATGAAGCTTATTTATATAGTTCTTCACTATTATGAAAATTTTGAAATTGTTTAAAAAAAATTGTATAGAAAATTTAGAGAAAATTAAGAAAAAAATATTACAAAAAGGTGTAAATTGAATCAACGACATAACTATCACGATATTTATATATGTATTGATACTTTCATTTGTTTAAATGATTGCATATATAAACCATATAAAAAGATGTGTATTACTAAAACAAAATAAATATGAAAGCAGCAGACAAACTGGCGCTGGTGTATTTCAAATCAAATATTTTATGTTCCAAGTTTTGCAAAAACTGACTCAAGATAAGGAAAAAAGAATAGGCGTGAGGTAGGTTTCCGCATCGAAAATTCAAGAATTTCCTTCCATAAAAAAGTAATAAAACGGATTATGTTAAAAGTTTACAAATTCTTTTTTATTCTTATAACAAAATACAGAACAGAATACAAACCTTCGCAAGAAACAATTTTATAGAATATTTCATTAACTGCCATCCAATAAGTAGTAGTTTTGAACCTGGATTCTAGAAATCATTTAAAAACGAGTTATTAAGACCGTTAGTGGATAGAAAAGATCTAGAAAACACACATATGCATTAATAAAACCCTAAATGACTTTTCAAAAATCAGCTCACCTTCTCTTTTATGGTTTCACAATGTTTCAAGCGCTGGGCAATACCTATCGAGCTGTTCGATACTAGTTCGTTGCTCAACATTTTCAATTTTTTTGTAAAAATTTCTCAGGTTCTTCAATAATTTTTTTAGATTGCAAAAATAAATTTAAAGCTATAGAAAAAGTTCTGAAAAAAAGTCAAAATAAGCTCAATCTGCTCGAGCCCGCGCTTGAAAATTTTCGAGCAATGAGCAAGTTTGAGCTGTTCGAGCTGTTCAAAAACATTTGATCAAAATCTTGAGCTTTAAAATATATATATATATTTACATACATCCACATTGGATAGCCATGACAATATTGCTCCACATAAATGTTCATCAGCTGGCCGGAAGCGGCTTAGAATTAACTGTTGGAAAAACAACAAATTGAAGGAGGAGCAGCTCGGCCGGAAATCGCTTCAGAAAGTCTCTCAACCAGGAGAAATCAGTTATTTGAAATGTTCTCTTTGGTTTTCTGAGCCAACTTCAGTCAGCTAGAGTAAAGGTGCAGTGTTTATAAGTACCTCATCACAATGGGCTTATTAGCTATTGCTGCCATAACTTTTTCTCCAAAGTAGCCTGCTCGTAGAGGAATGCAGCCCCGAAATAGCCCCATTCTGGTGGTGTGATAGTTGATGCGGGAAATTTGTATGTGAAAAATATTGTTGAGAATTCGTATGGGAAACAGTCGACACGAATAAAAGGCAAAAACTTCTGAAAAAATCGTAAAATACTTTAAGCCTTTAGCTCCCACCTAAAATGGCGCATTTTATCATTGTCGTGAGGCCTGTCGTCGAAAATTGTGATGAATTCATGGAAATAGTGGAAACAGACCGTCGCGTGAGCACTTAATTAATTGCTGAGGAACTACAGATAAGCCAGAAAATCGTTTGGAACCATTTGCATAACCTTGGATTCGATGTTTGGGTGCCACACGAACTAACGCAAAAAAGCATGATGGATGGAAATTCGATTCTGCGAATCGCTGCTGAATCACAACACAATTGACCCGCTTCTGAAACGGAATGAAAAATGGGTCACTTACGACGACATCGAGCGCAAACGGTTGTGGTCAAAGCACGGGGATGCGGTCCAGATGGTAGCCAAGACCGGATTGACGGCAAGGAAAGTTTTGCTGTGTGTTTGATGGGATTGGAAAGGAATCATCTACTACGTGCTGCTCCCCTATGGCCAAACGCTCAATTCGGCCCTCTACTGCCAACAAATCTACCAAATAGACCGCTTGTTGGCAGCGCTCACCCAGAAGAGGCCATCTGTGATTAATAGAGGCCGAATTGTGTTCCATCAGGACAACGCCAGGTCTCACACGTCTTTAGTGAAGTTGGTATCTCGTTTGCAATAAGTTTAATCTTTCCTTCTTTAAAATTGGAATCTTTATGGTCAAAGGTTTTGGTTGAGGGTTGGTCCGCCAGTCATTCAGGATAAAGCCTCTTATATATAATATATACCCGTGGATGAGCCCCCCAGAAAATATACAAAAACGATTGACTTAAAACCGTAATTATTTCTATTTTACATAGAGCAGACCACTTAAAAGAAATTTGGGTTTTCCATGGGAAATAATAAATTTTGTCTCCTTGCTTGGCCATTTCTTCTCCACCAAATTCGTTCGAAAGTTTATGACGTTAATTGTTGCATAACTTTAATAGTTCGATGACCAGAAACTAAAATAAAAGTGTTTGAAAAAATATTATTAGTTTTAACGAATACCACGATAATATCAGCACACTAGGGTATGAAGCACAATATTTTTCAACACATACATCTGTATATACGTTTGTGATAAAATTTTGTCACTTAATTGTAGTCGCATTTAAATATGATATTATCAAATCTAAATGACAATAGAATACAGGTTTCCAGCGCCTAAAATTTTAAGGCAAAATGGACATTTGCATATTTTATGTTAATTTAAGTTAATCAAAAGCACTTTAAAGCAAAATACCACTGATTTGGGCAGAACAAATTTATACTGAAACATATGCAAAATCTATTTTAGAATAAATTAAAATTTTCTAAAAAATCTTGGCAAACTGAATTTTTTTCTCTAGCAAATTTGTAGTATAAAAGCACATACCAGCGCGATAAGAAGAACACACAGTAAACTGCTTTCGTCGTCTGCACAACCAGCAAACAAACAAATCCAATATGAAATTCGTCATTGTTTTCGTCGCTCTCTTCGCTCTGGCCTATGCCGCACCAGCTGCTCCAGAAGCCGAAATCGTTGAATTGAGATCCGATGTCTTGCCAGAAAGCTACAGCTTCGCGTAAGTTCGCTGATTATAAAATAAAAGATATAAGAATAATTTGTTTTTGTGTTAAAAAGTGAAATCAGAGGACAAATTCATCGTTAACAAATAACATTTTTTCTCTCTTTTAGCCTGAAGACCAGCGATGGTACCTCAAAGGACGAAGAGGGTCATTTGGAAAATGTTGGCGCTGAGAACGAACACATTGTTGCCCGCGGTTCATACTCTTTCGTCGCTGATGATGGCCAGACCTACACCGTCACCTACATCGCTGATGAGAACGGTTTCCAACCACAAGGTGCTCATTTGCCCGTTGCCCCTGAAGCCTAAGTTTGTTACTCATTGACTGAGTGCGATTGATGGAACTGTTATTAGATTTTAAGTGATAACGCAATGTTAAATAAAATGAATGAATGAGTTGAAAACGAATAATTTCTTTGTGATTTAATGGTCGATGGAAACCAATATTAGGGGCAGTGCTTCTTTAGTAGAGAAATCGTAATTCAAATTTCGTTGTTGCCAAGTAGCGTAACATCTATTTTATCGATATCGATTGGAAAGTCGTGTTTGTCATATAATGGTGTTTTACTTTCATTGAAATTTAACAGGTAGAGTAGTTGTCTTCCTCTTCCTTTGCTGCCACTGGTTGTTACGGCATCAAAAACTTTCAAAGCTGGAGTATTCCTATCCATCCTGACCACATGGACTAGAGAGAGGAGTTTACTTTTTAATTCGCTACACAGTCCGTGAAAGCACCTGTTGGTAAGGGTTATTCCACGTTGGATTTTCAGGCTGACATTGTTGCTGGTGTTATCGTGGTGGATGTTGGTTCCAAGATAGATAAAATTATCTACGAACACAAATTTATAACTGTCAACAGTGACATGAGAGCTGAGTCCCGAATGTAAATGAATTTGACGCATGGTGTATATCTGATCAGTGGTGAATTTATCAGTCCTAAAGCAACACTGATGAGGTCCAATAATTTTGTTGACGGCTTTAGTATTTAACCCAATACGTTCTATAGGGTCTTATAGACGATATTGACAAGCCTTATTCCAAGGTAATTGGCGCAGAGTGTCGATTGGGCAGAACACACAAACTAATTTTTGGGGAATGTTGCGGGAGTGATGTAAAGACCCGATTGTAGCGGGAACTATCGCATTTTAGTCACCTCTTACAACAGGTATGCCTTACCGCGGATAAATTGAAATCGAAGGACATTCTTTCGAAGAACTACATTCCACAAAGTGGCTGGTGCATGCGCCTTACGTGTTTTTCGCCGCTGTATTTGAATCCTTCAGGCCGCAATGCATTAGGACACTGCTGCTTTATTGTTTTTGAAGCCGGAAATATCTTTTCGAACTTTTTTATAGTCGCAATCAAGTTCACAATCTCTTGGTGTTTCACTTTTAATAAATTCAGCATGCTGGAGAAGTATCCCCTATATAAATTCAGTGTGCTCTGAGCATCAGTCATTAGATCACCTCTCGGGTTCCGCAAGGGTTTTGCCCGTTCTGAAGCAATTGTGAAGGGCGTTTTTTGTTTAACAGCTCTTTGGTGCAACAATATAGTTTTCGAAATGTGTACGTAGGTCAACTGAAACTAGAAATTCACGCTCACTGCGCTGTGATTAAATTCTTTATAAAAAAAGAAGTACGTCGAAAGTAATTTTTGAGAGATGTCATCGGTTCTTCGGGACGATGGTGAAAAATGGGCTCAGCTGTTTCAACAAGAAAGAGGGGCCTGTGAAGAAGACCCCCGACCCCGTGACGGTCGGGACCGAAGAAAGTGTTCAGATAGTCAAAAAATCAGTAAAGGGTGATCGAAGAATTAAATTGTGGCAGATAGCAGAAGGACTACTGGATAGCAAAGATAGAGCAGAAGAGACTTCGCATGAACATTTGAATATAAAAAAAAAAACAGTGCGCATTGGATAAAGCGAATTCTCTGCCCGCTCGACAAGCAGCGACGATTGGAGAGCTTTAAAGATTTTTCGTTGATGAAACTTTGGATCGTCAAAATGAAACTCAGCCTAAACAAGAGTCGATGCAGTGGATGTTGAAAGGGAAAGACCACCTTTTTTCAAAAGGAGTTACGGGGACGAAGATTTTCGGGCTACATAGAGATGAAAGCAGCCGTAGAACACCATTTTGAAGAGAAATCTAAAGAAAATTTTGCCAGTCATGTAAAGGCACAAGGTGAAAAGTGTATTTCACTTGAGGAAGACTAAATTGAAAATTAAAAAAAAATAAAATTATAAATTGTTTATTAAATACTTTGGGCCTCGAACTTATAAGCTGTCGCTCATATATCTAGAAATTATTTTAACATTATTATTTTGCATAATTATTATTACTGAATAGCAAATACGCAGCGGCTAATTGCACAACAAATTCTTTTGGACTTGTTTAAAAAGTTTCAACCGGTGAATTGACTGGTTTTTTGTTAATTAAATACTTATTATATTTTAGAAATAACTGCAAGCTAATAAAATATTATTTTATGCGAAATATTCTGCCAGCAGAATTAATTTTTAGGGCAGAGTATGGAATATTGTCCAGGAATTCACTTAAACATATTTAAAAAAATATTAATTGTCTAGAAACTACGCCATTGATATTAACATATCTATATTGCTTCAACTTTTCTCCCTTTTTTTTGCATCTAAAATTGGCAAAAGAAAAAATTAAATAAATAAAATCAAAGAAGTTCATAAGAAATCCGTAGATATTGAAATATTTTTCACTAAAACTTGTTTTATTTTTATTATATATTTACTGACACCATACAGTGAGCACATATACGTAATTTAATTTTAGAATCCATATCTTTTTTGCTTTCTTGACATTGCAGATGGCTGTTGCTAATCATCGAATTTTTGCATAAAAGCACGTCGTCAATATGTCAACGGCAACACTCAGTAGTCTGATTCCAAAGCTTGTACACACAACAAACAATCAAAATCAAAATGAAATTCGTCATTGTCTTCGTCGCTCTCTTCGCTCTGGCCTATGCCGTACCAGCTGCTCCAGAAGCCGAAATCGTTGAATTGAGATCCGATGTCTTGCCAGAAAGCTACAGCTTCGCGTAAGTTTGCTGTTTTTAAAATGAAAGATATACGAATAATTTGTTTTTGTGTTAAAATGTGAAAAAAGAGGACAAAATCATCTTTAACAAATAACATTTGTTCTCTCTTTTAGCCTGAAGACCAGCGATGGTACCTCAAAGGATGAAGAGGGTCACTTGGAAAATGTTGGTGCTGAGAACGAACACATTGTTGCCCGCGGTTCATACTCTTTCGTTGCTGATGATGGTCAGACCTACACCGTCACCTACATCGCTGATGAGAACGGTTTCCAACCACAAGGTGCTCATTTGCCCGTTGCACCTGAGGCTTAAGTTGACTTCCGTTTAGTAGAAGTATTTTACTCTGGGACTGTTATTAGCGTTTAAGTGTGCAAAAAAAATGTTGAAAAGAATAAAAAGGATAATTGTTAAATAAAAAAAAAAATTAAGAATTTATTTTAACAGCTAAAGTTGTTAGAAGGTTTGAAAGAAAGAAAACACGGAAGAAAAATTCAAAAACCCATTGGAAGCTCTCTATTTAACGCCAATAATTAATTCTATATTCACATAAAAAGATATGAGGTTAGAAGACTAATATCACGCACGCACTTTTACAAGGATTCTTCAATTAATTTTTGTTTGGAAAGTGACATGATATGAATACAGATGAGTTTTAGAGATTGAAAAGCTACCCGCATACAAGTTGTATATATTTTCTCTATCATATATAAACGTAAAAGCTGAATTAAGCTGCGTCTATTTACAGTGGCTGCTACAAAATGTGCACACAACCCTCTCCTTTCAATAAGGATATTACTCGATTGACTGATTCTGTTGCATAACTTCAAAGATTTTAACTGAGTGGAGATGCCAGAAGCTCTTTTACCCGTCACTGTGTACAGATTATCTCAGAAAAAAACAGGCCCATCATGATGCCTAATGCAATAAGGGGAAGTTTTCCTTAACAGCTGAGAGCCTTTCTAAAGCTAACTTTCCTTTACTAATGCTTGCTTCTTTTTTGCTGTTTGGGACCAATTGGTCTTCCGCTTCCTCTGCTTTCTATGGCGGGTACTGCATCGAAAACTTTCAAATCTGGAGTATTCGTATCCATCCGGACTACATGACCTAGCCAGCGTAGCTCAACTATGTCAATATCGTCATATAACTCGTACAGCTTATCGTTTCATCATCTGCGTTATTCACCGATGCCAATGCGCAAAGGACCATTAATCTTACGTACAACCTTTCTCTCGAAAACTTCTAACGCCGACTCATCAAATGTTCTCATCGTGCACGCTTCCGCACTATGTAGCAGGATGGGAACGATGAGAGAATTGTAGAGTTTGGTTTTCCTTTGTCGGGAAAGGACTTTTCTTCTCAATTGTCTACTCAGTCCAAAGTAGCACCTGTTGGCAAGAGTGGTTCTGCGCAGGATTTCAAGGCTGACATTGTTATTGTTATATTCGAACTGTAGGATTCTAATTAATGCATGGTTTCTCTCTAGTCATACTGTTTTATTAATTTTTTTCACTTTATTTAATATAATTTAATATTACTTTTTATTGATTAATTTAATTTATTTTCATTTTATTTCGGCTTATTTTATTTTATTTTAATTTTATTTTAAGATTTTTTGCTTTAGTATATTTATTCTATTTTATTTTATTTTATATTACTTAATAAACTTTTATTTTTATTTGTTTAATTTAATTTTATTTTACCCAATTTTATTTTAGTTAATTGATTTCATTAAAATTTTGCTTCAGATTATTTAAACCAATTTATTTAATTTAAATGTACTATACTTTATTTGCTTAATATACTGTTAACTTAAATATTTTATTTTAATTTTATTTAAATTTAACCCAATTCTATTTTAGTTAATTGATTTCATTATATTTTGTTTTAGATTATTTAAACCATTTTAGTTTATTTAAATTTACTATACTTTTTTTAACTAAATATACTGTTACCTTAATTGGTTTATTTTAATTTAATTTAATTTTGTTTTATTTTACTTTTTTAATTTCTTTTCAATTTATTTTACAATATTTTTACAATTTTACTTTTTAACTATACTTTATTTTACTTAATGTAATATTATTTTAATTAAATTTAAATTAATTTTGTCTTAATTTACTTTATTTAACTTTTTTGTATATTTCATTTGTTGATATTTGGCTTCATTTTTTTATAATTTGTATAACTTTTTAATTTAATTTGATTTAATTATATTAGAATAATATTATTTTATATTGTTTAATTTAATTTAATTTAATTCAATTTAATTAATGTAATTTAAATCAAAATAATTTAATTTAAGTTAATTTAATATGATATAATCTAATTTAGTTTAATTAAATTTTACATTTGTTTTTTTTATTTTTTTTATATTATATTACTTTACTTTATTTTATTTTATTGCTTTCACTTTTCTCCAAGCTTGGTAGTTAGGCTACGTTAAATGGTGATTAAATTTATTCGAAAAATGGCATATGTCCAGATATATAGCTGCCTGCCAAATAACACACCATCTATTTTTTACCGATCTGTAGATTTAGGATGGAATATTATTGGCCTGAAACAATTCTACCTTCCACAAAGGCCTTATTAGACTTCGTTACATGTTTTGGATTTCGTTTATATGTCTAAAATGTAATCTCGCCCTCACAAAAAAAAAAAGAAAATTCCCATATTTTAAGGGTTTAATTAATAAAGAACTTGAATAACGATGACAGATTTGCCGTATTTACGCATTGATGTTCAAATTGGGACTTACGAATGTCAGGAGCATTTTCGTTGAAACTTGTATGACTTCCAATATTTCTTCTCCATTGTGTTCTTTTACATTAAATTTAGTTTCTTTCCTTTCTTTTCTCTTCTCTCTTCATTAACATCTTAAACGTCACTTGTTACTATGAAATTGATAGGCTTTTGCTAATTTTAGATAAAAATATTTGCATAAATTGGCTGATGCAAATATTTCTTTTATTCCAGCAAAACTTGTTTGATATAAATTTTTTGTTTTACGTGCGTTTCAATGACCAAATTAAAAAAAAAAATAACAAAATGAAAAACGATTACACGCGTGCTTAAGAATAAAGATATAAAAAATAGTTATATTTTTTATGCCCTTTGTGGTTATTAGTTTGATTTGACAAAACTTTTGTATAAAAGCATGTTGCTAATTTTTTAACTATTACAGTTAGTCGTCTGATCTCGCAATCTGCACAACCGGCAAACAAATCACCAACCAAATAATCAACATGAAATTCGTCATTGTTTTCGTCGCTCTCTTTGCTCTGGCCTATGCCGCACCAGCTGCTCCAGAAGCCGAAATCGTTGAATTGAGATCCGATGTCTTGCCAGAAAGCTACAGCTTCGCGTAAGTCTCTAATATTTATGTAGTATAGTATAGCTTAAAGATCTCCATTCAGATTTTCTTAATTTTTTCTTTTTTGCCAAGTACAAAAATACTACTTTACTCTCTTTTGTTCTCTCTTTTAGCCTGAAGACCAGCGATGGTACCTCAAAGGATGAAGAGGGTCATTTGGAAAATGTTGGTGCTGAGGATGAGCACATTGTTGCCCGCGGTTCATACTCTTTCGTTGCTGATGATGGTCAGACCTACACCGTCACCTACATCGCTGATGAGAACGGTTTCCAACCACAAGGTGCTCATTTGCCCGTTGCCCCTGTGGCTTAAGTCATAGCTCTTTAGTTGAGTGTGATTTTGTTGTTTGTTTTGATAAAAATATAAAAAAAAATTGTTTGACAATGAAATGTGGATGAATTTTATAATTTTCATTTATGTATGGAGGTGTATATATTTTGACATTTTAGCTACCTCTTTGAAAGCTTGCAGCTTAATTTATTTCTAAATCTTCACAACAAAATCACTCCATCACGCATGTTTTTGCAACATGTGACAGGACGGGAATGATGAGGGACTTTTTTAATATGTCTAGGGAGGACTTTTCTGTTCAATTGTCCACACAGTCCGATGTAGCAGCTGGACTCTTAACACGAGTGCGTTGATTGTTGGTTTGCACGAATAAATTCCAGCTGAGAAGCGCAACCTTTGATCACTTTTTGCAGTGAATATTCTCTTCTAAGAGCATATTTACGTAGATAAGAGCCAACGATTCCCTTCTTCTTGTGAGCATGTAACAGTGCCTCAAGAATGGCATGCGGATTATCAACCAAAAGTGAACTTAATCGCTGAACAAAATTTTCTTAGGAAAATCGGGATCGGTGGCCATTTCTTTTTGATCCTATTCATCTATCCTGAAACGCTTTTGATAGTCGTTTAACTTAAGTTCTGGCACGAGTTGGATCTCGTAAGCCCGTAAGCCAAAATCTTTCCACAAAATCTTCCATCAAATGGATGGGCAGTGTTCCAATTGTTGCTAACGATGGCGGGTATTTTTCGATACTATGCTTCACAGAAGCAATAGCGTCTGCGTTGAGCACTGTGCGGCATCTCTCAGGTTGCGCGTTAAGGTTATGGTGCGAAACCTATTCATAGCTGCTGGAACTACCGACTTTGCTGTGTGATTATGTCTACCGAATATTGGACACAGCGCATGTACCGAAGTATTATTTTGGTAATTATTTTGCACGATTTGCAAATTCTGGAGCAAGTAACGGTTCTTTCAGTTCATAATTTGTTTTAAATGATTTTAATAGTAAAGGCCTAAACTGCCTAGACACACGAGTTGGAACAATAAAGTTTACCTTAGACAGAATTCGCTTGAGAGAGAGAGGCTGTAACCTCATTTTCCGCGTCACGAGAGGTCTTCCCACAAGTGGAGAGCCCACGTTATGCTTTTACTTTGGATTTTGAAGAGAAGCTCGTTCACGTGTGAACGCTAATACCAGATGATATCAAGCAGCTGGGCAGACAATTGTGGGACCGAACTTCCATGCCCTCCGAACCGTAGTCCTTAGTACAAAATCTAGATTTGTTATATGGTATTCAGTAAGAAGAGAAGACGCTGCTCACAGCTTGTTGTTTTTTTTGATAGAAAGTTAGTTAGTTTTAAATCACAACCATAATTATTAAATGAAAATTTCAATCTCTTCATTAAAATTCCATAATGAACCAGGTTATACTCCAGTCTTGCTTTTAGCTGGCTTACCAGACTAATGCTTTGGTGTTAAATTGTTTATAAGCTCCTCCTCCTTCTTTCAAAAGTTGTCAAAATCCGCAGTAAAACATATAAAGTAGTTCCTCTTTATGTTAGAAAAAACAATTTTTGTTTTAAACTGTATTAAAATAATTTTATTTTTTTATCTATTTTCTCTTTCAATAATACTTTCACAACGAACAAAAAAGGCCTTCGCCCGACACACCGACACATTCTTTTACCATGAAAAAACTATTGCTTAAGCGACTGGCAAATGAGCGCCTTGTGGTTGGAAACCATTCTCATCAGCAATATAGTTGACAGTGTAGACCTGACCATCGTCGGCGACAAAGCTGAAAGAACCACGCACTGAGATGGACTCTTCATCGGTGCCGATGTTGTTAAGTTTACCCTCCTCGTCGTGCTTCGAACCATCGCTGGTCTCATAACCGAAACGGTAGCCATCGGGTTGCACATCGGAGTCCTGACGCACAATTTCAACTTGCTGCTGTGGTGGTGCAGCCAAAGCGACGGCGAAGAGTGCGACGAAAACGATGACGAATTTCATTTTGATTTGTGTTTTAATTTTTTTGTATATGATGTCAGGTACTTTTTGGCAGCTACTTAGGTGTGCTGTGCTTTATCGACGTCTCGTGATTGAATGATGGATTCATATTCTTTCCAAAGCTATTTATACATTAACTAAATAATCGATAAAATTTCAAGTTCATCTACTCAATCGGCTTTAAACGCATTTATTTCCTCGCTTTTGTTCAAATAAATCTTGGATTTTTGTTTAATCTTTATGTTGTTGTTGTTGTTGTTGTTAAATTGTATGTCTTCTGTGTTTACGCAGATTTTCTTAGAGTTTTTGGATTTTTGCCATTTATCATGATTTGCTGCGGTGCATGTACGTTGTATGTACGAGCATGTATTTATGTATGTAGGTCTGTTGTTCACTTTGTTACAGCTAATTGTTTGTGTTTTTGTTGTGTAAACAAGTTTAGTTAGATCTTCTTCAATGCAGAGGTTGTCAGCTTTTTTTTTCCTTTCAAAATAATGCTTTATTAGTTTCTTGCTTCTTTTGAACCTATAAAATATTAATATTTTTCAGATTTTTTCCAACAATCAAAACATAATCAAATTCTTTTCTTCGAAATCTTCATATCAGTTGTTGTTGTGTGCAGGTTGCAGTATAAACTGTTGTACGCTTTATGAAAGCATAATTCACGCCTTAGCATCCCAGCAAGGCTATGCAAGTTTGAGTATTTTTAGGTTGTTGAATTAAAAAAGAGACCGAAGCGCGACGAGTTGTGTTTGTGAATTTGTTAGAAAAACACTTAAAACGGTGTTTATTGCAGAAACACACAAGTTAATATTTTTTTTTATAGCTTCAACCACTAAAAAAAATATTTTTCCAACTAGTTAGGTCGAAAACTGTGATTTTTTTTTTGATTTTCTAGATTGAAAGAAAAATTTGAAAATTTGCTCTTTTCAAATAGAGCAAAATTCGAAGAGGAACTGATGATAAAGCGTCAATAATAGGTTTGTTTATTGAGCTGCTCTAGGTTACGCCAGGTTACTCTATTTCAAAAAATTGTGTTTCATGAAAACTGTTTTGCTCTGAATTGCTCTACTATTTGTTTCATGAGTCTGCTCTAAGCAGAAAAGTAAAGGACTTAAATACAGTGACGATAAATATAATATTATACATTTTACTAAGAAATATATGAAAAAAATCGTAACATTTTTTCATTTTGCTTACAACAGAAAAGTCAAACATTCTCATTTGAAAATTGTTGCCTGAAAAATGTTTCATGAGCTTTTTGCTCCGCGTTGCTCTAACTTGCTCTATTGTTTTTTTGGCAGCTCCTCTATTCTGCTCGAACACAAGCTGCTCTACTCTATTTTCAGTCTCAATAAACAAACCTGATACATTGACATTTTTTCGTTGCATGTTGTAATATTTCAGCGTACTTTTGCGAACAGATGCCATTTTGGAGAGAGTAGAAAATTTTAAAGTAAAGTCTTCTCTCTATATACAAAAACTCAATAGACTTCATTTGTTTCCCTTCTGCTATGTATTGAAGAAACTTGCACAATGTTAATATCCATTGAATTGGCTTTAAGATCTAAGACAGTAGGATGATGAGCTGTGCGAGATATACGGCAACAGTGATATACTTTAGCGAATAAAAGGCGAATAATAAAGGGGCTGACACCGTTCACTAGGTCATGTGTACGGATGAATGAAAGCGTTTCCGTCTTGAAAGTATTCGTTGCTGTACTCCCTGGCGGCAGCAAAATGCCTTATCGACTGCCTTGACTGCGAGAACAATTGACTACCTTGACTCTGAGAATATTTCTACTGCTAAGTGGATTTGTATGTCTATATGTTTGTTTTCTTTGATGTTCGAAACTAAATTTATTAGTTTACTTTTATGGTTTTGGAAAGCTTTGTAAGCAAATGTTTTGCGAGAAGTGCCTCTGGGACTGACCTATTTGAAAAAATCATATTTATGGTTCGATTTACTTGGAAGACGGTACATTGGTTGCATTTTGCTTAGATTAACAGGAAGACTACACTCCGGGATCTGGACCAGAGATCGACCTTTTCGGTTAAATTTTTGTATGATTCGTCTACAATCATTACTTTTGCTTTCTGGAAATAAACCAAGTATCTAAAAGCAAGTTCGAATTGCTTGATTTGTGACAAGAACTAGTGTGGGCTGGATATAAGCATAGATGGTGCGTAGGTATGATCTCTTCGCGGCTGCGTGTTATAAGCTATTGTTGTACGTTCAACTAGAGTACAAATGAGTAGGTATATGCTTAGATCCGAATGGTGTGATGATATTTTCGTGGGGAACGCGCGGAATATTACCCATATATATCTCTTTTACATATTTATTAACAAGTTTTTTTTTTAATCAGTTATTTAGAGGCATATTTTCTAAGCTTTAAAGGACCCTTCCAATAATTTCTTTATGTCTGTATGTGTGAAAATTCTTCATCTGCTGGAATGCCGTGCAACAAATTAAAAATGGAAAATTTGAGTATTTTGTCATCATTTATTCAACATCATTTTTTCCCCTTATAAACTAATAACACTTCCACCAATCAAACCCGAACTATTATATAATAGACTTAAGCCTCAGGGGCGACGGGCAAATGAGCGCCTTGGGGTTGGAAACCGTTCTGGTCAGCGATGTAGGTGACGGTGTAGGTCTGACCATCATCAGCAACAAAAGAGTATGAACCGCGGGCAACAATGTGCTCATCCTCAGCGCCAACATTTTCCAAATGACCTTCTTCGTCCTTTGAGGTACCATCGCTGGTCTTCAAGCTAGTGCGTAGAAAAAGAAGAGAAGAAGTTAATTGAAATTTATTTAATACTAGTGTATTAAGTAAATTCTGCAGTAGAAGATCGCCACCGCCAATAAATACATTTATACATATATAGAAGATTTCTATATTCGGCAGCAAACTTACGAGTAGCTGTATTTCTCTGGCTCTACTTCAGATCTCAATTCAACGATTTCGGCTTCTGGAGCAGCTGGTGCGGCGTAGGCCAGAGCGAATAGAGCAACGAAAACAATGACGAATTTCATTTTGATTTTAGGTTGTGCAGACGACGGTATCAGACTACTGAATGTTGTAAACTGTAGGCCGATTCTTAGCTTTTATACACAAACAGATGCGGTGACATATTTGCTCATATATATAATATATACACTATATATTTGCCGAATTCATAAACCGCTACAATATAACTATTAAATGATTTTTTTAATTCTTAAACTTGATTTGTCAGTATGTTTGATTTTGTTGTTCATATGCTAATTAACTGGATGAACCGGCGTAACTATAATAATTTGTGTAAAAATTATATCTATGCGTATGTATGTATATTGTTTAGTGTGTTGAGATGATATCAAATTTTTGCTACAGTTTATGTTCAGTTCTTCCTTGAAGTTTGCCTATTCTAAATGTAAATAAAACAACTAATTCCGAAGAACTGATTTCCATATATAAGCATAATAGTTCTTTGTCAATACCTAGTAAATATGTTTATCTTGTCTTCCTTTATGGACATATCATTGGGATTTGTTTCGGCTTACATATGGAATTTAAAATCTCTGTTTGGCAAATCAAGTTTTCTCTAAGTGAAAACGTTTTTCAACTGTATTTTGTGGTTAATTTCACTTGTTAACAATTTATTAATAGCGCACGTGCGCTGTAACGGTACAGAAATTATATAAATATATTTTTCATTTTCTTCATTTTTTAGTGTTGAATTTTTCTTCTTCATTAGCGTAGGCGTCAATTGGAAATACCAAGGGAAACCAGGAGGTCTTACTTTTCCTCCACCGTTCCACCAGCAGGCACTGCAGCGCATATTTTCTAAGCTGGAGTGCACTCATCGGTTTGGATTACTTAACTCAGCCACTGCAGTTTATTGTCTCTTAATTCACTGAGCTTTGAAAATTTTGTCGTCGGTAATGTGCAAAGATCCATTAATCTTCAGCAAAATATTTTTCTTGTTATTGTTGTTGTTGGCGCTATAACAGTTTTATCGAAACTCCTAATGCCGCCACATTGGCATTTGCCCCTCATAGCAGGATGGAATTGATGAAAAGTTTTAGCCTCTGTTTGTCGAGAGAGGCCTTGGACTACAATGCTGACACTGTTCTTGATGTTAATGCTATACCCTGAATAGACAAAATTATCTACGACTTCAAATACATGACTCTCAAGAGTGACGAAAGAGTCAAGAAGGGTGAGCGTTTCGCGTTTGCTTGATAACATAAGATATTTAATTTTGTCCTCATTCACCAGTAGACCTATTTGCTTCCTTTCCTTGTCCAGTTTGTAGAAACGAGAATTGAGTGCGCTGCTGTTGTGATCAATGGTATCAGAATGATTGGCAAGTGTTAACATTTGTACTTCATTTCATACAGCCATATCGATTTTTTATTGCATCATACTCTGTTGAACAGAGCATTTAGCGGCTTTGGCATTTCCTATTCATGAGCAGTGAACTCGATTAGCATTCTTGATGTTATATAATGGAATCCAGTAGATATACATTTGCTTTACTGCGAATGCCTTGTCTATCCACTACCTTGACTCTGAGAGCATTTCCTACCGCTAAGTAATTATATATGTCTGTACGTTTGTTTTCAAGAGGATCAGATCTTTTATATTTAGTTCTGCAGAACGTATAAGTTGCTCCAGCCTAGATAAAAGAAATTATACGACAAGGAATCACCTTATCCAAAGCCTCCTTCAGCACTGTACTGCTTATAGAGGTACTTCTAAATTCAGATGGCGCTTTTAGTGTGACTCATCGGTAGTTGGCAAAGTCTTATAAGTTTTGAGAAATGAAATTTACAAATAGCGCTGTAGAGTCAGTTCCTTTTCGTACTATCGCAGTCTGCTTTTGATTCAACGAGAGTATTGTGTGTGTTGCTTCTTTTTTACCGGATATTTTTTAAGATTTTGGGTATGACGAATAAGTTACCCGCTGCTATCACTCAATCGAAGAAATTTTGCAAGAAAACTGATGCGTGCCGCCACATTTGAATAGCTTCCCTTCCAGCCTTCCATTTCTGAAGATTTGTTGTTCTTTATTCAGGCAATCGCTAGTCGGTCTTCGTTCGCCACATCGATTATATGGTCATCGATTAAGAACTCGTGCAGATCAAATCCAGTTTTTTCACTTTTAGCACGTTAAAACGGTTATCTCTCTATAATCTCAGCATACATTGGCCTTCAGTTTTTAGTAGCTCCCCAATTTATTTTCCTCATAGTTTCGGCCATTCTAGTTTTTTCTGCCTGTTAATGTGGGGACAAGCGTGAGGTTCTCCTTCATAAATCACAATACCGGCAGAAGGACAACACTTCATTACACATCCAGGCTCACGTAAAAACATTTTTGGTCGCAATTAAAAGAGTTATTTTTTCTTGATCAAATTATATACCGCTTTGCACTCGATAACTCGATCGATATCGAAAAGTCTGCTAAAATTATTAATAGTAGAAATAAATCTTTTTCAAAATTTGGCATATAAACGCATTAAACTTACGCCAGGAGTTGTCCTTTCACATTTTTCCGTCTGGTTTTGAATAATCGATGCTGAAAATTTACTATCCTTAAGAAAAGTTTTGAAAATTTTAAGTTCACTATTTTCTATGTATATTTTATAATGAAAAAAAAGGAAAACAACATTTATTATTTTTTAAGCTTTTCGGTCACGGCAGCTAAGCAATTATTATTTCAGTTTTTTTCTTTCAATTATACAAATTTGATATTTAAAACAAACTGCATAATTATTCAATTACAACAAACACACTTAAACTGCAGGAGCAACTGGCAAATGAGCACCTTGTGGTTGGAAACCGTTCTCATCGGCAACGTAGGTGACGGTGAATTTCTCGCCAGTCTTTTCATCGGTCCATGAGAAGCTACCGCTAACAGCAAGAGATTCGTGGTCAGAGCCGACATTGTTCAATTTGCCGGACTCCTCCTTGCGGGTACCGTCGCTGGTCTCAACAGCGAATTGATAGCTTTCAGGTCCAACGTCGGAGTCTTGCTTGACAATCTCGGCATCTGGATTTGGGCGGGCGAAGGCAACGGCCAACAAGCAAGCGAAAATGATAGCGGTCTTCATTATGTGTATGTGTGTTTGTGTTTTGTATGTTGCTTCACCGTTGTGGTTAGGAAACTTAATGGATGTCATTGCAGATGTTGCACTGGATTTTATACAAAATTTTCATTGAGAATAATTTGCATTCTTGTCTTCAAATCATATGTTCATTTCTGTGACAATTCTATTTTATATTTTTTTTTTGCTTTTCGTAGTTTTGGACGATTAGTTTCCTGTTTATGTGCAGTTTGGAGATTCGCGAAGCTTTTTAGATGAAGGGGTAATACAGTGAAATCTTTATTGCCAAAATAAAAGTACAAAACATTTTGTGGATTTATGCATTTTATGACCGAAATAAAAGCATAGAATAGAAAAGCAAGTTTTGTTGGATAATTATTATAGATTTGTGTGAGATCTGGTTCGCAGTTAATTGCATGGTGAGATAAATGCGCTGTATATATTTATTACACATACATACACGTACATATGCTCATATAACAGTATGCACGACTATTTTGCATTGGTGATGAAGCAGAATTTCTCTAACTTTTGCAAGGCTCTAGTTCACTAAATGCGCTAGAGAGTTTTATTAATGCATAAATATATTTAAAATTTCACTTAGCTGCGCTCGTACATACATACATATTGGGTCTGACTGACTTTCAAAAAAATTTTAATGTTTTATCCGTTTTTTATTTTTTTTTTGGAAGCAGCTTCTGGTTCAAACTTGTGCGAGCTTGCTGCTAATTGGAAGACAAGTTCTAAACAACCACTTCGGCTCATCGAAGTAGGTGTGTATGTGTGTGTGTGTCCAAACATAATGCCATTGTTCAGTTTGTTTACTTGTCCAACTTAATTGCTATCAAGTTTTTGACATTGGATTAGCTAATATTTATTGAGATTCTTCTATGTTTATCCACTAATTTTCGCCGGCTCTGTTGAATATTTCATGAGCTATGGAAATAGAAACACTTTCGTTTACCTGTTTGACTACGTTTTACAAACATACATATGCATATAGGGAGAAAAAACACATGTACATACAGCTTATGTTATGTACAGATATTATCTATCAGTATATAATAAATATATGTATAAATAAGCCTTAGCGCCTACATCACAATCACACTTATATACATATATATAAAAAACAAAAACAAAGAATAAACTTTTCTTCTTTTTGTAATGACCGGTTAAATAATTTGTTTGTATATACATAGACATGTGTTTTTGCTAATATAATATTTTAAAAATATTCATATGTGAAATTATTATTTAGCCGCCTTAATAAACCAAACTGGAAACATTAGATAAGATTCACTTTTGCAATTTTTGCACATTTTAGTTGCTAAGCAGTTGAAAAAGGTAAATGATTTTAACTAAGTATAATTTTATCACACACTTTAGTCTAAACATATTTGCAATTTGCTAAACAAAATCGTTAACTAACTGATTTTTTTTGTAGAAAAAAAGACTATTTTGTAAGGCAAAAAAATTTTACGCACTCATTTTTAATATGAAAATCTACATATCTTTCGCACTTAATTTATTCCTTACGTCACTGAAATATTTGACAATTAATTACGTTGCGTGAGTGCAAATACAGTTAGAACAGTGAAATAATTCTAACTTCAATAGATTAGGCCGCGCTTCCTATTTAAAAAGAAGCTGACATGAATTGAAATAAAATTAAACTAATTAATTTAAATTAAATTAAAATAACTAAAGTGAAATAAATGCAAATGAAATAAAACTAATAAATAATAAAATAAATTAAATTAATACAAATAAAAGGTGATTTTTTAGCTATTATCTTATTGGCAACACTGATTTGAACAGCTGACGCACGTTTCGTGTTTTGTATCAGTGTCATACATCTGCAGTTTGCAGTTTGGTCTATAATTTAATCATGAATCGTCTTGCAAGCAACCCTTGCAAATTATTGAATTTTATTATCAAAATGCGTGCTCTGCTAAGAAAGTCCATAAGAAAAAAAAAATATGTTCAGCGACGAAGCTCATTTTTGGCTTAATGGGTGCGCAAATAAGCAAAACTGTCGATTTCGGAGTGAAGATCAGCCGGAAGCATTGCAAGAGCTACCAATGCATCCAGAAAAAATCACAGTTTTATGGGCTGTTGGAATCATTGGACCGTACTTTTTCAAAGAGGCGAATCGTAACGTAACTGTGAATGGTGAGCGCTACGGTGAGGTGATATCAGACTTTTTTTTGCCCAAAATGCAAGAGCTTGACTTACATGAGCTGTGGTTTCACCAAGACGGTGCCACATGCCACACAGCACGCGTAACAATGGACTTAATGAGAGGTGAGCGCGGTGAACATTTTATTTCACGTTCAGTACCTGTCAATTGGCCGCCTAGATCGTGGGATTTAACGTCTTTAGACTATTTTTTGTGGGGCTAAGGTAAATCTCTATCTACACAGACAAACCCGGAGGACAACCTTAAAGTATTCATTCGTGAGATATTGGCCGAAATATAGGAAAGAGTATGCCAAAATTGGCCTAAGCGGATGTACCATTTGAGGCGCAGTCATGGGCAACATTTGTATGAAATAATCTTCAAACATTAAATTATATGGACCCTACTATCGATTCATTTAGAGATTTCAAGCATTTTTTTGAATTTCATGTGTTTTTTATGAAAAGCTTTCCTGTAGCTCTTAAAAAAATGATGAAATGATGAAATGAAAAATTAAATCAAATAAAACAAAAAATAAAATTAAACAAAAAAAATGAATTAAAATAAACTAAAACCAAATAAGATAAAATAAAATAAAATGAAATAAAACAAAATATATAAAAATTCATTTAGAATGTATAAAAATAAAATAAAATGAAGTCAAATACAATAAATTTAAAAGTAAATTAAAATATTATAAAGTAAAATAAAAAGAAAATAAATTATTTTAAATATAAATAAAACAGAAATATAGTCAAGCAAAATAAAATGAAATAAAATGAAAGAAAACAAAATAAAACAAAACAAAATATATAAAACTACAAATAAATATATAAAAGAAAAAAAAATAAAAAATGTTAAAATAAATAAAAGAATAAATAAAATATAACAAATCTAAATTAAATGAGATACAATAAAATAAAATAAATTTAAAAGTAAACTAATATATAACAAAGTGAAATAAACTTAAACAAAATAATATGAAATTAAAAATTAAAAAAAGAATAAATGAAAATGAAATAAAATAAAATAAATTAAAGTAAATTAAAATGAAATAAAAAGAAAAGAGAATGGGACAATATAAAAATAATAAAATGAAGGAAAAAAATTAAGGTGAATATACGGAATAAAATTAATTAAAAATAACGGGTGATCCAAGTATAGGCCTTCTTTTCGACATTATTTATGCTTTCATGACACTTTTCATTTGTGGCCTAGATTTAGCAATAGCACAACAATCGCTGCCCCTAACGTTAATTAACTATCGCTTGGTACTTCATTAGCATTGTCGGAATAGCAAGGCGTCAGGAAGAGAAGGACGGAAACATAATTCTTTTCTAGACGATGCGTCACAGCATACTAAGCTGAAAACTAAAATAAAAAGAAAAATGATAAGGTTGGAACTGACTATCTTAAAATTAAAACCTAGGAAGAGACTTAACTATAGAATTTGGTTTAACAGAAAGAACAGATATTTAAATTGTGGCTCTTCTATAAGGACTCAAGAAATAAGCAGCTGACAATGCTTTTGGGGCGAGTTTTTAGTCTATATAAGAAAGCACTGCTATCTAAAGGCCTTCTAAAGGTGGTATTATGCAATATTTTCTAGGCTCTGAAAGAACATAACGAAAACGTGATGGGCTTGCGATTATGCACTTGCGCCTCATGTGACATGCACCTCACATAGTAATTTATTCCGGGTAAAGCTAACAAGCTATTTTTTTTTATTTCGTGGAATATTTATTCAAATCGATCTCGGTGTGATGATTGCAGCACATTTATATGCAAATATTTTGATCGAGAATAATTATGCCACTAAGCAACTTAACTAGAAATGATATTCATATGCAGTAAAACAAAAATTATTATTTTTTATGATACCGTTATCGTATGCAAAAACGAGATTCAATAATATTTCAAAAGAAAGTCTTGTATGTACATATATTCCGACAGATATGTATTAGAATTAATATAAAATAGCACAACGATTAACCGAAATTATCCACAAATTTGACAACTTTCAACGCAGCAACACAGCTCAGCAAAAAAAACGCACTCGTCAACATGAAAGTAGCCATCGTTTTCGCTTGCCTTTTGGCCGTCGCCTACGCTCGTCCCGATGTCAGCATCGTTCGTCAGGACTCCGATGTACAGCCTGAGGGTTATAACTTCATTGTGGAGACTAGCGATGGCACTCAACACTCTGCTTCTGGTGCTCTGCAAAACGCTGCCACCGATCACGAATCGCTCGCCGTTAAGGGCAGCTACTCGTGGACCGATGAGAAGACCGGCGAGAAATTCACTGTTAACTATGTCGCTGATGAGAACGGTTTCCGACCAGAGGGTGCTCATTTGCCCGTTGCCCCAGTTGCTCCTTAAGTTTGTGAGATGACGAAGTTAGGAAATAAAATTATTTGTTTTTTTTTATTAATTTAAGAAGTTAAGGTGGTTTTATAATTGGATAATAAACTTTTAGCAATTTTTGATATTTTTAAATTTTTGTTGAATTCTTAATTTTAGAACAAATGGTTTGTATGATTAAGAAGGGGATTCCCGTGGCTAAGCTTTACAAGAATATTGGCAACACTGCATTATAATTTTTCAGGATGTATAGTTTTGTTTTATCCTAAGGAAGTAAGCTTATAATTTCTCATATTTTCATATTCAGATCCATAATTTTGAATCTTCATATTTACTTTTGTCCGAAAAATAAATTTTTTGTGATAAATTTAAAGCAGAGTAAAAATGTATAAGAACATCAGTGTGAGAGAAATGTTAGCTAAGAGTTATTTAAATACTTTATAAATAAAATCTCAAAAACCAGCTTGGTTATCATAAATAATACAATAAAATAATTTTAAGGTTAAACTGGACCCCTTGCGTTAATTTTATTGTACAAATAAATTCGCTAGTCGTTTCAAAAATAAAACAAGACAGGAAGTGTTGGTCGTGGCAAATGAAAAAAATAAATAAAACACAAAAGATAAAGATTAGATTAGTATAAAATAGCACAAGTTTTTTAACAAGTTCTGCACTACGAATTTGTCGCCGCATATTGTAAGAGCAACTGAAAGTAGAAAATAAAACATGAAAATTCTTCTAATATTTTTTTGTTTATTGGCTACTATTTTGGCGCAAGTAAACTATGATTTGAGCGCAGATAATCTCGAATTCGGACCCGGCTTTAGCCAGCGTGGCCCGGTGGATGGCGGATATGCAGCAGGTGAAGATGTCTTGCTACCACCACTTGGAGATGACGAAGTCGTTTACTGATTTCGAAAGAAAAAACTGTGTTAGCGGAAATACTTAAGTATTTTAATTAATAAAAATTTGGAAATAAATACACACATATTAATAGGAATTGATCTAGGAGCTAAATTGTATTTTTGTTAGATTAAATAACATTGTTTATAATGTAAAATTTTTATTCGAGAATATATTTTTAGCAAATAAAAAAATAAAATAAAATAAATAAAATAAAATAAATAAAATAAAAAGGGTGTTTTTAGAGATGGGTTTTAAATTAGGCAATATTTGATACGGAGTTAGTCTTTTCGATAGCTGTTACTTGATTTTTTCTCATTTTGTTCGCCATTTCACAATAAACAGAGGACTTGCAAGTTAGGCGAATTTATCACCAAGAAAAGGGTTCGGCTCACGTCACGAATCTCTCGCTGCCTCCAATACTCGGTCGACATCGATCTTGCTCCTTATTTACTCCAGTGGCTAATGCGCATTATTAGAGACGCGGCGCAGATAAAGAGGAGAGCATCAAAGAAGAGCCGAATGAGTCCACCCGCTATTGGGAGAGCCTCAATTGGAGCTATGTCCGACCATTTATTCGAGCCAGTCACGGCAATCACTTGTCCGAAGTTATTTCTAAAACATAATAGCAAATCTTTTTATTTATATAAGAGCTAAATTCTTGGCCGTAGCGGTAAAATACCTGCTTTTAAAAGAAAGTTCTCATCAAAATTGAGAAATATATATTCGTAAACAAATTATAAAACGCACTTCTATGAGCCTACACAATAATAAGTCAAACATATGTATGTATTGTAGGAAAATCTATAACTGTTCGTATCTCCTTTCTTTTCAGCTCTCTCATTTTGAGTTAGCGCTCGTAAAATATTTATCTTTCGCTAACACAGTTTTTAAATGGAGAATGAATAAACTCTTTCATGATTACTAGAGTAGTTGAGATAAGCAACCTTGTACTCCCGATTTATTTTCGAGAGGTTCTCGACCTCTTTAAAATCTTAAATAGGACCATGATAACCAGAGTTGAGGTGTGGAGGGATTCTGGTTCTAAGAGCGGGCGGTATAATTAATTTAACGGCGCCTACTTCGAAATATAAGATCTAGTTTAAGGCGACATTCAGCAATAGTCAGAGTGATCGTTGAGTCCAGTGAAGATGACGATTACTGACAGGTCGATAGCCTCCAAGCTGTTTGTATCGGCTAGTTTAATGCAAATTGAACTGAGTTTAATGATAATAATAATAACGTTTAATAAATTGAGAAACAGTTTAAAGAAATTAAGTAAAATTTTCCCAAATTAATTGCGGCGACAAAAATGACTGGGCTTGTTAGATAGACATGGTTTCACGAAAAATGAACTGACCGTGAAGAAGAACTTCGGTGCACAATCTTTTGGTCACTTTATGCCTATAGTAGCAAAGATATTGATAAACCTGGCAATAAACACTGATTAAGAAAATGTAGCTTGACGTGAATCGCAAAGCAAATATTGATGCAGTTAAGCTGACTGAGTTTCCTGAGGCATGAAGCCTTCTTTATCTGAATTACGGGAAAAAATTTTGCACTTTAAAAAAAGAAAGAAGCAGAAATGCATTAGGTTGAAGAGCTTGAGAAGCTGACCGGTAAGGTTGATGCTCGAAAATTCTTTTCTCCTCTCCTCTCCTCTCCTCTCCTCTGCAGATGTTATCGAGAAAGCAGAAAAACTTCTTAAATTTTAAATTATCAAATGTATAACTAATATTAATATAAATGTCTTAGCCCAACAGACTTTTTATTGTATAGAACCAAAAGAATTTGCATAAAATATTTATAATCAAACGGTAAACGAAATCTTATTCTGACAATTTTATTAAATAAGAAGAAATTAAAAGAAATGAAATGGAAGTCGAATTAAACTGGAAATATGAGTACCGGCAACCATTTCAGCATACAAGTATGTACTATTGTGCATACATCTGCAACTTATGCAATCCTATCGATACAATCTGTGCAATATAACGGGTTCACAATTAACTCGAAAACCAGATTTAGAATATTTTGGCCAATGCTGATTAGAGAAATGCATGGCAACGGGAATAATATAAAATGGCAGGGTTAATAGAGAAAGTTATCCACTAAGTTGACAACGCTTATCGCAGCAACATAGCCAGAATCCAATCAACACACTAGTCACCATGAAAGCCGCTATCATTTTCGCTTGCTTGTTGGCCGTCGCCTTCGCTCTGCCCCAACCTGATGCCGAGATTGTCAAGCAAGAATCCGATGTTGGACCTGAAAGCTACCAATACGCTGTTGAGACCAGCGATGGCACCAAGAAGGAGGAAGCTGGTACCTTGAAGGATGCTGGTTCCGACCATGAAGGTATTGATGTTCATGGCAGCTACTCGTGGACCGACGAGAAGACTGGCGAGAAATTCACCGTCGAATATGTTGCCAACGAAAACGGTTTCCAACCAAAAGGCGCTCATTTGCCAGTTGCCCCAGTTGCTCCTTAAATTGATTGCCGATGCGTTGAGTTGTGTTATTGTTTATACTAAATGTAGGATCTTTTTTATTGAGAATAAATTAATTTGCAGTTTTTAAAATTTTTGATATTTTTATTTCTTTTGGTAGTTTTCAGACTAGGAAGCGAAAGACAGGCTTGTGAAGTTGGTTATGGAAATAACTACCAACAGTGAGATCTGCTAAGTAAAACTTCCATCAGCTCTCCATTCTCTAAACTTCTGCTACACTAAGGCTGGTACTAATTTTCAATCTAGCTCTAAAAATAAATTGAACCGCCCAACATTTGCCAGAAAATTACCAGTAGATTTATGTACAGCAACCATTCAATGGAATCTAACCTACCCAAATTTATCGATTTCAAATAAGTATCCAGCTGAATAGTTCTAAAAATATAGCTTTCTTTTAGGCTTATTTCTTTACCTATTGCAATGGTTCCACAACTACCCCACCAGCTAGTCACTGCAATTCCCAAAGCTTTTTTTTGTCGTTTTTAATAAATAGATGGAAGCTCTGTAGATAGGTGGCACTACTATATGCAACTGACTGTGTTGGTCGTTTCCCAAAATTAGAGTTATTTTTTGGTTTTTAATCACATCAAAACCTAGTTTCAGATACATATTAATCTCTCAGGGATAAAATTCAAAATTAATGATGAGAAACTGATTGGTTATGTTCGAAGCTTGGCTCGACCAAAATCAATAAACTGTGAAAACTAATATTTCTAATTGCGGTTGCACGTTGGGTGGGCATTTCAAGCCTACCGAGTGTATTTCTTACATGAAATAAGAAGTCCCTCTCAAAAATCCACCTCTTCGAACTCTGTTTGATTCTATGAGGAACACGTCTGAATCAGCTATGGGCTTAGCAGCACAGAGGACTAGGAGAGATTTCAGGATGAGTACGTTAGGCGCACTTGGATTTTGCACAAGGCTTTGATGACTACTTCATCTCGAATTTACACATGCATTCACATAATTCAAGAGGATCAAGAGGTTTACGGATGGCGTGGTAAGTCCTTACTACCAGTTAGAGTGATAAGAGTTAGAACTATTTGTAATAGTATGATCGGCAGCATTTAGTAAAAGTTGTTTTTAAAGTTTTAGTTGGTGTAGGCGTAACAACATTCTTGAAAGTGGGTTTTGGGAAATGTTTGCGTGACATTCTTGGTAGAACATAAGACCCGGGTTCTTTCGATCTAAAAATTCGTGTGTCGGGGTTACTATTGGACTTTAGTTGCCTCTTACAACAGGAATGCCTTTTTCTTCTTGTTCATCTCCTTCTGTTTCTCATTGACGAGGGCACCGCTTAACAGCCGGATTAACATTATCGCGCCAATCATCCCTTCGCTTCGCTTTTTGGCGGCAGCGGGGGAAGCAGAGGAGGAAGAAGACCTCCACTCTAAATCAGGTCAGATCCGATCTGGTTTCACTTGGTGGCAATACCATTAGTGGCACTGCATCGAATACTTTCCAAGCTGGATAGCTTTCATTCATTCGGACGACATGATCCAGCCAGCGCAACCGCTGTCTCTTTATTCGTGTGTCATCATATAATTCGTATAGATCAATACGCAAAGGACAATACATCGTTCGTAAAATTTTTATCTCTCTTCGGATGCCGTAACCGTCCTGGCTTCTGTGCCCTGTAGTAGGACGGGAGTGATGGGTGCCTTGAAGAGTTTAGTTTTGATTCGTCGAGAGAGGACTTTACTTGTCAATTGCATACTCAGTTGAAATTATTACCTATTGTTTGGTCCCGAGATAGACGAGATTAGCTTAGACATCGAAGTTACAACAGTCATCAGTGACGAGGAAGAGTAGTGCCCTGAATCCCCCTGCGGGTTAATAGTTCACGAATTTACCCACGGTAAGGCATGCCTGTCTTAAGAGGCGACTAAAATCTAATATTTCCCGCGTTAGTCGGGTGTTTTATAAAACCAAGGACTGTCACTTCCGTAACATTCCACAAAAAGTACTTTGGGGAATATTTTTGCGGTTACTACAACAACAACAAATAATGCCCTGACTGTTTATCTACATAGCTCTGCGGCTATTTCTATTTTCTCTAGCATCAAATTGAAAAATCCGATGATAAAGAGTCATCCTGACTGAAACTTCGCTTGGTTCCCACATGGCTCGGAGAGGTCCTTCCCAATAATGGCTGCGCTTCTAGTCTAGTTCTCCAGCCTTCGTTTGCACAGCCTTATTACTTTTACTGGCACGCCTTCGTTATCGATTACACCACCTTCATTGCGTTGTCATATCCACGAAATTCAAAATATTTATTTTTATATTTTGTTTTATTTATTTTTTCCGGAGCGAGCACAAAAATATATATTTTAGCAATTTTGACTTATTTAATAAAAAACTGTTAACATACATATAATGTAAAGTTAATTTGTTCTACAAAAGAAAGTTGACATTTGCTAAAATTTATTGTTTGTGCTTTTTTATTGTCTGCAATCAAGTGACAACTCTTTGGACAAATTGAAATTTCTGGCGAAAAACAAGTTTTTCTCTTGGTTAACAATAAAAGTTTTTGTTTTGTTGTTGTTAGAATGCATTTTTAGAAACATTTGTTTCAATTTAATTAACAACAAATTTAAGATTAATTTAAACACAGCTGCATGTAAACAAAAAAGTAGTGAGTTGCTAAACAATTCTGATTTTATATTGACTAATAAATAAATTGAAAAAGAAAATTTAATACTAAATAAAGTAAATTAATAAACAAAAGATCGTGTATAAATAAGGGTTGGCAATTTTTAATTATATTCAGAAAGTTCTCAGCTTTCAGCAAGTTTACAACGCAAACTTATTACAATTAAACACAAACAACAATAAAATCTTGAAGAAAATGAAATATTTATTATTATTTGTTGCACTTTTCGCATTTGTTGTTGCGCGTCCTGAGGTGGAAATTATTCGTTCGGAATCCGATGTGCAGCCCGATCACTACACCTTCGAGTGCGTATATATAAAGAGCGGTCGTCAAAATGTTTTGATTTAAATTTTTTTATATTTTATTATTTTAGTTTGGAGACCAGTGATGGCACAAGCAGACACGAAGAGGGTGTTGTGAAGGATGCTGGCACCGATCACGCTTCGATTAGCGTGCAGGGTTCATACAGCTACAAGGATGAGACTGATGGCAAACAATACTCCGTCAGTTATATAGCTGATGAGAATGGTTTCCAACCTACCGGTGAACATTTGCCACCATTGCCATCCATCGAACACTAAGCAATAAAAAATTTTGGAATTGAAAAAGCAAAGCGAATCAACTTAAATTAATCACTGAAATAATTTTTTAGTATTTTAATGTATTTTAATCAATGAAACACCACTAGACAGCATCACAAAGTGCAATAAAAGTAATTGTAAAAGTAGAAGTTTTCTTTTTTATCAACTTTAGCAGTTTAGCGAGCGTCTAAGATACTCCATCTCCAACTAACCAAAAAACTTTTTGGACTTCATTCAAACGGCTTCAGCGATAATAATAATAGCAGCGTTGAAATCCCGAAATCATACTTGCCGACTATATTAATCTCGATTGAGTAGACCCTTAAAAACTAAAAGTCCTCTATTGACGAAGAAAGATCAATATATACAAATCGCTCATCATTCTCGCTCTCTACTGTGTGTCAGCAGTGTAGAGAGACATGAGTCAGAAGTTTTTGCGAGTAAGCGATAAAGGAGAGTCAGAGCAAGTGTTCTCGGAATTTTTAAGAAAATATCTGTTTGAATGTGAGCTAGAATGAGAAGGATTCACTCCAAGAATTCTCAGATCCATTGAAAAATATTGACAATATACATACGCAATATAAAACCCTACTTTTGATGGTGATCTCGATTTAAGGGCAAATGCCTTAAAAGTTCGGTGACTGGGAAATTGGCGTCACCAGCTTGGGTTAACATCACTGCCCACGAGGAAGTATATCTCACGATACATTAAGAGAAAAGGTAGGTCTTTTTAGAGGAGCAGGATAGCTGAGGGTAGCTCAGAGGAAATTCACCATGTGATTCTTTTTTAGTTTCGGCATAGTTTATAGCCAATACAAATAAGCAATGAATGCCAAATATTAAGAAATCATCTGGGATACATGAAAAAATCTGCTTGATGTTACCATGAATAAAGGAGGCTCAGGCCTAAAAAGAGTCTTGAGTGCATTTGGCTAAATTTTTCCAAAACAAATTCGAAAATGGTCAGCATAGCAACTTTAGCAAAGTCGTTCCTGGTGATGAATCTTGGTTCTATAAATACAAAACAGCAGTGCATAGTATGAAACCCAACAGAAGCGAACCCACTCATAAAACTTAAGCAACAAAAATCAGCAGCAAAAGTAGTGATGGCAGTTTACTTCAACCGCTCTAAAATCATAGCTACTACTCCACTGGAAAAGGGTCAGACGGTGACTGCGAAATGGTACACCGAAGAGTGCGAACCAAAAGTCAAAAATTTTATTGGAAAACGTGGAGAAAGAGGATTTGCAGAACCACTTTTTAAAACAAGACAACACGCCATCGAACACTGCTAAAATAACGAGTATTTTTATTGCGACCACTGGGATGAAAGAAATACGTCCAGCACGGATATTAAGATTAAAAAAAATTAAAAGGAAAGGTCTTTAATAACAACGAGGAGACAATTATTGCTGTTAATGCTGAACTTGATAAGCTTAAAGGCTAAAGAAATGCATTGAGATCAATGGCTGTTATGCAGAGAAGATAAAAAAGGACAGAGATTATGAATAAATACGAAAAGAATTTTTACAATTATATTTCTGGTCAACTTACCGAGCTTTTGTTAATCCCCTCGTATATATATTAATTTCTTTTTCGAGCCATTTTTCCAACTCACTTACCTAATTTTCTTTCTGAGAAAATTATTGCAAGAGAAAGAAGATACGCAAGGAAAATGTTCCTTTCCAAGCGCACTACCGGAATCTAATGTGCGGGATAGGTTAAGCCGAATCCTTGGTGCCTCTGCGTTATACTGTAATTTGGCCATGCGTTGTAGTTCTCTATTGGTTTACCTTTCGTTAATCCGAAAGATGTGATTTTACCTTCTTCATTTCAAAAACATTATTTTGTATGCGTTTTTTGTATTTTTCATACCGATGCGTTTGACACTTTACATATAATACTACTATTTATTTTCTAAAACTACACATTAAATATTCGTTTAAAAATAAAAGAAACAATAACTCTCAGATCTCTCAAGCTAATTTTTAACGACAACTCAAATCATTTAACCGTAATTTACGAGATCTATGCACTAGACATACACCCGTTCATTTCTGCACATATTTCATGACTCGATTTCTTTGTTGCGTTTAGTGAATACCCACATTGGGCAAGTGAGCGCCTTCGGGCTGGAAACCATTCTCATCGGCAATATAGTTGACAGTGTATGTTTGACCATCATCAGCAACGAATGAATATGAGCCACGCACAACAATTGTCTCATCCTCGGCACCGATATTCTTCAACTGACCTTCCTCGTTGTGAGTCTTGCCATCGCTAGTCTCCAAACTGTCAAAGAAATTTAGAGTTCAGTACAAGGCTGCAATGCGATTGCTGCAATGCGAGCACCCATATACCCGTACATACATATGTATGCAATGCACAACGTTGCAAAGAAACACTTACGCAAATGAGTAGCCATCAGGCTTCACGTCCGAATCCAAACGTAAAATTTGCGCCTGTGATGGATCATCGATAGGCACAGCCACAACGATGTTGGCGATGAAGCATACAGCGAATACAATGGTGATTTTCATATTTGATTAAGAATTCTTCGTAAATCGTCGTTTTAGGATATTACCGAAAATTTAATAATAATTGCTGCGCACTAAACAATACCGACGGAACGCACACTCGGTTGGGTAAGTTGTTGACTTATGATTGTCTGCGATGTACGCAACACCAATTTATAGTGCTTCGACGACTAGGCCAAAACAATAATAGAATTATACTATGATAGACTATTATTATTTTAGTAACTGACAAAAAAATTAAAAATTAAAAATTAAAAATAGAAATATAAAATAAGCAACAATAAACCGTGTAAAATCTAGTGTTTGCTTAGATAGCAAAAACAAAAACAAAATGAAAATATAAGCAAACAAAAAAACAACAATATTAATAACTAGTGAGTATAATTACCAGTGCCCGAAAACTATTTAAGCTGACAAGTTTAATATTTTTTTATTATAATTAATACATACATTCATCAGCTGAGACAAACGCGCACTTTAATACAACAACGCATATGCATATATAGGGTTATCCATTTCGTGATTTCAAAAGTGCAGGACTGTATTTTGACATCTGTCAAACTAAGCTGTCAAAGCAAACAAGTTTTTTTTTTTTTAAATTTAAAGTCAGGCATTGAAATTGTTGACGTGGCTACATTGCGTACTTTAAGAGAAGATGATGATGAACATAGTTGCCCAACTGCTGAAGCAATTGGTAAAATTTAAAGAAATTTGAAGAAACTGAAGGGTCGGTTACAGATAATGTAAGGTCTGTGCATCATCGTCCAGCTCGTTCCACCACAAATATTGCTACTAAAAGTGAAAGTGTAGCCTAAGACCCAAATGTGTCTATTTCTTGACGTTTTCAAGGGCTTGGCCTTTTTAACACTAATCCTACAGCCATATAATTACACTAATCCTACAGCCATATAAAGTTCAGCTGGCAAAACCCATTGAATCCAGTCGACCATTCACAACACCGGATGCTTGAATAACAAGCTGCCAACGGCGGTATGTGGAACAAAAATTTCTTCAGCGACGAAGCACATTTCTCACCCAGAGGGATTGCAAAATAAGCAAAAATGATGCATTTGGAGATTCGGAAATTCTTCCCTCAAATAATTGAAGAGTGTCTCTTACACCTAAAAAAACTTACTGTCTGGTAGGCTCTTTAGTCCGGAGCTGTGATTGAACATTACTTTTTTGAAAACGACAACGGCGAGACTGTAACTGTCATTCGGAGTGCTAGGGTCGTGTTCTTTTGATCTGCTGATGAGGAACTGGACTTGGACAATATGTGGTTTTAACAAGATGGTGCCACATGCTACTTAACACGTGGGAAAATGGTTTTGATGCAAGAGAAATGCTCCAGTCGCGTAATCCTTTGTCTTGGCGATGACAATGGCTACGGAGATTGTGCTATTAGAGACTGTTAGACTTGTTTTGGGTAATTACGCGAAAAACCGTGTTTATGCGGTTCAACCTTTAAGTTTCGAGCACTTGAAAGCCAACATTCGGCAGGTAATGGATGGGATACCGCCTTAAACAAACCAAAACTTTTTCGAATATTAATTTAAACCTGCAAAATTTCGTGAGAAGGTCATTTATGAATTATGCAGTGTTTGAACTTAATAAAAAATTATTTCAAGTGCACTTTATTTAGGTTTTCTTTTTCGAAACCACAAAATGCATAACCCTGCAGCTATACACACTTAAATTACTTGATGGAAAAAAGGAAACGAATATTGCGTATCTTCTGTTGGAGCATGCAACTTGCCGCTTTGTTTTTTTTTTTTTTTTTTTAAATTTGTATGTCTATTTGTTGGGTCTCAAATTTTCGACATTTTTGTGCATTTCGAAAAGATTTTTTTGAACCATGTTTTTTAATTTATCTTACATTTAAATTGTATATTAATGATTTCTTTTATGGTTGCGTTTCAATATAACCTTAATATCGGTTTCCAATATCCCGAGGTTTTGGGATTCATTACGCAGCTGTTGTAAAGCTCGACTTCATTGATTTTGAATATATCGTACCTGAGTATACTTTCTATATGAGAGAACTTTTTACCTCATGTTATATGCTGTTAGAATGTTTGATGATACATGGTTTTATAAGACTTACGTGCTCTGGAGAAGGTTAACGTTCTAAATTACCCGAGCAGAAGTTAAAAGAAAATCTTTTAACACATATTAATGTACGCATTTCCATAGAGCCTGAGCATATTTCAGTCTGTACGCCATTGGATTATTATTTATTGACTGCTGGATTTGTAGCCAAGGTGTAAGAAGGAGACTTTGCACAAAGGTAGGGCAAGCTTTTTTACAGTTTAATACAACCACCTTTAGACCAAATTTCTTTTAAGGAACCAGCAAAAATCCGTATGGTGGTGAGCTAAAATGAGCATGAAATCTCTTTGAAGATTGTACCAGGATTTGAAACTCACCTCCTGTGGAAGTATTTTACCCAAATGGAAACTACAAAAAGCCTCAAATAAGTAACCTGACTTTTGATGCCGAATAATTTAAATATTTTCAAAACCGGGTATCCGCAGTACCTTAAATGGGGAAATTCTGCTATCAATTTGTTTGAGCTTTTCACCAAAACTAAGACTGGCATTACCTAATTATAAACTAAATTATCATTATATTGATCCTAGTAGGATGCTGGAAAACTATCATTATGAATTTGCCGACATTCTGTATCAATTGTTTTTTAATTTTTGATTTATGCAGTCCTGCTCGGCCGTCGGATGAATGATTTCGGATTCCTCAGCTCTTTTCTTCATCTTGTAGGTGTTTATATGTGTTTAGAATTTTTCTTTTTATTAAAGATAGCAACTATTACCCACTATAAATCACACTTATATTTCGGTGACCACTTTATAAGAAGCGAATCTTTTTTTTCTGTTTTTCTGAGCCTTTTTCTCTCCATCCCGCTGCCATTCTCTGTTTCAGGCAATGCTAAAAAACACATAAATCAGTTTTTACTATTTTTTCATGCATAGAAAACTTCAAATATAAATTATTTTCCGCAACGAAGCCTTGGGTGCCCTTAATTAACACATATACACATGCACGTAAAAATGTAAACAAAAATCATATTTGTCATCATCAGTTCAATGTGTTTTGTTGTAGATAAAGTCGTCATATTAGTGGATGTAGTAAAATTATAATTTTTTGTTCATTAACCTACACACCTGCATATTATATGTATATGTATATCTACAACCATACGTGTATTTACCCCGCAGTAAAAAGTCAACTAGTTTGTAAAAGTACCACTTCGAGTCTAGTATTTTTTCCAATACATAGGAATCACGAAACCTTTTGTAGGCCACTTTCTTAAATAAAATGAGAAATGCAATTCACATGCATAATTGAAATAGTATTTAACTGGTATAGAGCTGGTGCATGACTGGTCAATTGACATTACGTACGAGCTAAAAATACCTGTCGCCAACATGGAAAAATGATAAGCGATGAACTAGTCAGTGCATAATAAAAACTGGTACCTTTTTTGTTAACTACTTACGAGTATATCCTTCTCTGCGCGATATTTGCATTTCAATATAATCTGCTTATGTGTGCACGTATGTATATGCAATTAGTTAACAACAACAACAGTTTTAGAAATTAAATTTTTTTTTTGCCAGAAGCTTACTTATTAGCATCTTTTGTAAATTAATCACTAAAAATTTTAAATATCTCATCTAAGGCTTACTAATAATCTATTATTATTTATTTTTGTTTTTACTTCTATTTGCAAAACAAAATATTTGAATAAATTTGTAAATATATGAATGCGATGAATTAATTAATGCATTAATTTCAACAGAATTAAAAGTGCAAGTAAAAGTTTAATTTTATTCGAGTTTATTTCGGATGAAAGTTTCTGATAAAAAATCATATTTTTTTTATATGGCAAGCTCAGGGAAAATTTTTTTCACAAAGCAAGTACTCATATGCTGGTCTAGTAGAAAATAAGCCATTATTTTTGTACTAAATCGAGGGCATTATTTACCATAGTTGCACCGAGTGTCATTATGCCTATCTCATAGAAACCCTTCTACTTTTAGGAAAAAAATAGGACAATAGATTTGCACAGGCTACCCTTAATGCCAATTATTCATCAGCCAAATCCTTCGCTTTAGGCAGGAACAGATGTAATCATTTGGTGCGAGGTCTGGACTATATAGTGATTGCATAAGAACCCCGCAATCTAGCTCTCGGAGCTTCTGTCGAGTTAGAGTCGCAATTCATGTCTGGCCTAACGTTGTCCTGTTGAAAGCTTAGCGATTACTTACTTTATGCACAGATCAACTTTTTAACGCCATTTAGCGTAATGCAATCGCACTTACATAACGCGGCATGCAGAAGAAGTAACAGAATACTTTTTATTGATCTCATACTAGACCGGCAGTGCTGTACTGACCCTTTATGGGTGTTAGCAAAGTATTTTGCTGGCGATTTGGACTTTCGAGTGGATTTTACGAACTGCTGAGTATGCAGAAATTATTTAATCATATGAAGAAATCACTATTTATTGGTTAGTTTTACCACAACTCATATAAAGCGCAAGCAACAATTATCGGCTTTTTTATAATTTATTTTCGCATCTTTTCATTTCGATTAATACTAATTAAAACTAGTCAACAAGTAACAAGAAGTAGCTAAATCACAGACATTTAAGCGACGGGAATATGAGCACCTTGTGGTTGGAAACCGTTCTTGTCGGTCTGACCATCATCACCAATGTATGAGTAGAAGCCACGGACAACGATAGCCTCATCCTCAGAACCCAAATCCTGTACTTCACCCTGTTCCTGGGCAGCCTTGCCATCACTGGTCTCAACACTTGAAAGACAAAGAGGATAACCGTTATTATAATAATATGCTGAACCTCTACAAACTGTAAGGTGACTTACTTGTATTGGTAGTTCAATGGTTCAACTTGCGAGTCATAACGCACTGTCTCCGCATCCCGTTGTGGTGCTGCCAAGGCAACGGCGAATAAAGCGAAAAACACAATAACGAATTTCATGTTTGTTTGGTTTTATTTAAAGAGTTGCGGAGACGATGCGATCGCTGTGAACAACGTTGGGTTGGTGAATGAATGAAATGCGTTTGCTATGCGTTAGTTTTATAGCGCTTGATTGTAATGGACGTTGAAAATGTAAACATGAACGAAATGTAGTAGGAGTTGACTGAGATTAGCTGAATATGTTATGCTAATTAGTTCGGTTGGGCTCCTCAATGAAGCGTGTGATGTACCAACAATATTGTACTATGAGTTTTGAATTTTTTATAATAAAATATGATACAAATCACATGCATATCTATATATAGTCTACCGTTAGACATACATTGATTTAATGTTATGACGCTTAGTTTTGCCGTGAGAGATAATGGATTCTAATTTTTGCATTTGTCCTTAGTGAGCATGGCCATCGGTCACGTAGTCAAATTCAGTAATGAATTCCTGCTCATGCTCATATAACTTCGTTGTTGCGTGAGCCACTATTGATGCTGGAAACCATTCGCCTGCAGCCCGAAGCTAAGTCTTGATTTTGTTTGTACAATTTTCAAATTTTGCTTCGGAGTGGGTGGAATGAATTTGTTTAGATTTGCTGGTACAATGTGACCAAATAAATACTGCTTAATAAACTTTGTGCTCGCTTTCGCTGTTTTCGTCTTAATTACAATCGACTTCTTTTCTTGTTCATATTAGGCGTCCATGATGCCGTGTTAGACAAACTCTTAGTTTACATGCAAAAATAGCACAATAATCCAGCTTTGACATTTTTAGACCCCATGCTCGCCAGCGTGAGAAGAAGAAGAAGACCTCTACTTCTGGTCTCCCCAAAAGGAGAAACGAAAGAGCTGCTTCTCCTAGGTCGGCTATTACCGGGTAGGCGGCGTTTACGCCATTAAAGATGTAGAACGAAAAAGCGTTCGTTTTGTTAAAATGTTTCGTACAACTGTAATCATGATTAAAAAAAATTGTTGGGACCACAAGCAGGGGGCTTTCATATTGTTAGTCGCGCTCTTGTTAACCGTCTCAATATCTGTATGCTTCGATACTAAACCATTACATTTATGCACATATATATTTATCATAATTCTTCTCAAAAGACAGCATTTACACGAGCCAACATTGTGTGATACAATTTGAATGCTATTTTGTGCCCTCTCATGGGAAATCTGGGACAGAATACCTGATCGTTAAGTTGCATCTTTAATGAACGTTTTTGGTGCGATTTTGGAACAAAATTGTCGAATATCTCAATACTATTTTCCAAGAACTTCATAAAGGTTTGTCATAAATCGTCCCTGGATGGTTGTCTTTAACGGCTCTCTACGAAAAATAGTCCAACGGAGTTCATTTTGGCAGTAAGTTTTCAATGTGAGTTTTGAAGACAAATTTCCTTTGAATATGATTACTTTTTTAGTTATCACCAGAGGTTGCCCTCAACTTCGTCCGTACGGAATTTAAAGATGGTTTTAATGAGATTTTTATTAGGTTTTTAGGTAATTTATTTTATTAGCATTTTAATACTGCCACGTTAAAATATATGAAAAGGAAAGAATTATATATATATTGAAAGGAGATTTCTATTTTTCAAATTAAAAGCAAATTGAACCATAAATACGAGTATGACCCCCTCAGAAAGAACGGTGCCAGAAAGAAAAGTATATTATTCACGGCGCCAAGGTTATGATTTGTATTTGGTGGGATCAGCTCGGTGTGATTTACTATGAGCTCTTCAAACCGGGTGAAACCATTACAGGAGATCGGTACCGAACGCAACTGATGCGCCTTTGTCGGGCGCTTAAAGAAAAGCGGCCACAATATCAAGAGCGACATGACAAAGTCATCCTTTAAAACGACAATGCGCGGCCTCACGCCGCAAAAGTGGTCAAAAAGTACCAGGAAACGCTGAAATGGGAAGTCTTGCCCCACTCGCCGTATTCCCTAGATGTCGCCCCTTTTGACTTCCACCTATTCCGTTCGATTGCACACGGCCTGGCAGATCAACATTTCCAATCCATCGAAGAATTGGAGAAATTGTTTGCTTCATGGATAGCGTCAAAAGAGGACTCCTTTTTTCGAGCCGGGATCCGAAAATTGCCGGAAAGATGGGAAAAAGTTGTCGCTAGCGAAGGACAATACTTTGAATAATATATCTGTAAGCACTTTTTCGCAATAAAGCTTTTAATTTTGGAAAAAAAAACGGCGGAAGCAAAGTTGTACACCTGATATGTGCCTCATATCAAGTAAAACCAAACCATCGAAACGGCCCCCGACGCCCGGAAGAAAAAATGTTCCTGACTTTAATTTAGACCCAGGGCTACCTCTGCAGTTTTGTATCTAAATCAAACGATATATACTAATGTTTCTAATAGGTCGGTCTTACGTCCATTTCTCGAAAGACAAAGTGTTCCCAATGGTAATTTGGGCCTACAATAGTAGATGTGCCAAATTCTATGTAAATAAATCAATGAGTCCAAATCTATCAAACAGAGCACATCCATCTTCCGGAAACCATTAAATGTACCGAGCTTCGTATAAATCGAACAATTTAAAAATAAATTTGTTTTTGCGAATAGATCGGAAAATTCTTTCTTATCTGAAGCATATGTTATTTGCAGAACGCGCACTCCAAATTTCAGGTCTCTACGACCAGTGGATTAGGCTGCGCGTTGGACAAAACCTTTCGTATATATAAATGGACCTTACGACGAATATTTATTTAGCCATAAGTTTTCAAAAAACGAAGCTAAAGAGCAATGCGCAGAAGGAAATATAGAGAGACGATCCTTCATTGCATACATAGGTTGGCACTGTACAATGCGATATGTGATTGGATGTGATAACAACTAATAAGGCCATTCATCGAAAGTCTGCGGTTGGCTTAGCTGTTTGTTTTCGCGCTGAAAAAAATGAAGTCAAAAATTTTGTTTATCAAAACTGATTTCGAGTCCATTTCCATCACAACGAAATTTTAAACTAAACTAATTACCACTAAGAAGTTTATCTGCGGCGAGATTATTTTCCCTGGAATTTATAACATAAGATCGAAAGAAACTTTCTAAAGTAAAATCATCGGCCATGCGGAGGCGGCTTCGAATAAACTGTAGGTTCTTCCGTGTGTGGTAGAAACTTCAAGACGCACGCCACAAATTCGAAAAGAAGTTCGGACGAAAATATCGCCAGCAGGCTTAAAGTGAAAGTATGCACAAATAATATCAACATTTTCTATTTTTCATAATATTCTGGAACATCACAGATCCTCATTGTCTTTGCGAAGGCTTCCGGTTTTGGAAAATGTGTATATGAGTATTTTTGTATCTAATTCTTTGTCTTCACGATGATTGTCTTTCATCTCAACGAAAATTTATTTTCAAATCTAATAATCTTAATGAAAAAATTAAGTTGTTTTTGAATTTGGTTTATTTTCGTTTGCTGATTTTTTCTTTAATACTAACTAAAACTAGTCAACAAGTAACAAGAAGAAGCTAAATCACAGACATTTAAGCGACGGGAATATGAGCACCTTGTGGTTGGAAACCGTTCTTGTCGGCAATGTAGTCCACACGGTAGGTCTGACCATCATCACCAATGTACGAGTAGAAGCCACGGACAACGATAGCCTCATCCTCTGAACCCAAATCCTGTACTTCACCCTGTTCCTGGGCAGCCTTGCCATCACTGGTCTCAACACTTGAAAGACAAAGAGGATAACCGTTATTATAATAATATGCTGAACCTCTACAAACTGTAAGGTGACTTACTTGTATTGGTAGTTCAATGGTTCAACTTGCGAGTCATAACGCACTGTCTCCGCATCCCGTTGTGGTGCTGCCAAGGCAACGGCGAATAAAGCGAAAAACACAATAACGAATTTCATGTTTGTTTGGTTTTATTTAAAGAGTTGCGGAGACGATGCGATCGCTGTGAACAACGTTGGGTTGGTGAATGAATGAAATGCGTTTGCTATGCGTTAGTTTTATAGCGCTTGATTGTAATTTGCGATCAAAAGTTTGAAATACAAACATAAACTAAATTTAGTAGGAGTTAGCTAAGATCCGATGAGTTTGTCATGCAAATTAGATTAATAAATGTTTGAAAACATTAAATCAGTTGTATGCTAATAGCGGCAAAATATTGATTTGAATTTCAAGTGTGATCACGCGGTGAAGAGGTGGTAATGAGGTTGCTTGTTTATAACTAGTCTCAGATGGGCCATTTCGTGTCTGCAAATGCCAGCTTTACCGGAGTGCATTTTCAAAAGTTTGAGCCTGTTTATAAATGCATAATTACTTTAAGAGGTGTGGTTGAGGCTTTAAAATGTCACGCGCAATGAAATTATTAGAGTAATTTGCAGTTTTTTTATGAATAGAAATTTGAATTTATAGAAATGAAATGAAATATAATCACACCAAGAGATATGCAATTAAAGCGGAAAATATATAATTTATCAAAATATTTGAGTTCATTTGTTTTATGTTATTTAATTTTATTTATTATTTTATTAACTTTATTGGTATTAATTTTATTTCATTAAATTATACTAATTTCCATATAATAAAACTTAATACTATATTGCTTAAATTTTTTTATTTCATTTTTATGTGTATTTAAATCTATTTTTAAAGGTTGTTTAATATAAAAATTAAAATTAAAAATTTTAATTATTTTTTATGTTTTTTGTAATTAAATATTAATTTGTTTTCATTTTATTTTGTTGTGGATTTTCTTTTAATTTAATTTTATTAATTAATTAATTTTATATTATATTTTAACTCTATTTTATTGTAATTTATTTATTTTATATTATTATATATTATTTTGTTTTATTTTATTTCAATTTATTATATTGTATTTTAGTTTGTTTTAATTTATTTAATTTTTTTGATTTGATTTTATTTTATTCGTTTTTATATTATTTTCTTTTTTATTATTTTATTTCAGTTATTTTGTTCTATTTTATAATTTTTCAATATATTTTATTTTATTTATCTGATATACAATTTAGTTTTTTCTTTTATTCTGTTTTATTATATATCATTTTATTTTATTTTTTATTCATTTCATTTTTTTTATTTCAACTCATTTTATTTTAATTATTTTTATTAAATTTTTTTATTTTAATTTTATTTTATTGTACTTTATTCTATTTATTATTTGAACTTATTTTATTTGGTTTACTTTATTTTGGTTTGTTTTAGAAATGATTTGTTTTATATTTGATTTCATATTATTCGCTTTTATGTTTTTATTTTATGTTATTTTATTTTAGTTTTTTTTAGTTTATTTAGACTATTTTATTTAATTTTATGTTTTTTCTATTCGTTTTACTTTATTTACCTGATAATAATATTTGATTTTATATTTTTTGTTTTATTTTATTTATTTTTTTTACCTGATTTTATTATTTAATTAATTATTTTTAAATTATATACTTTTTTAAATTTTTTAATGTTTATTTTGTTGTTTTTCATTTTATTAATATTATTATTATTTTATTATTATATTATATATATTTTTTTAAATTTAATTTAACTTTGTTTTACAGTTTATTGGTATTCAATAAAGCTACGAGTTGAATGCCACCGCTATTTACACATGTAATATGCTTCCAGCTTACTTATTTGCTTATGTACATATTTATATATTTATATAATATAACATTTGTAGTTTGCGAATTTCATGCGTGAAACCTGCCCTCAGTTTGAACCTTCGAAGCGCCGGCGTAAGCATAATTTTCTCACACACTTTTACACACTGATGTAGAAAGGTGTTTTGTTGGAGTAGGTCGACGATCATTGGTTTTGAAAAAAAGAAACGATATTGTTATTGAACAAAAAGAAATGAGCGCATAAGAAACTTGTTCCCCCAGAAAAGTTGAACGTCACCTTAAGTCGTGGCCAATTAACGCATTACAACATGCAGCATACATACATACATACGAATATACAAACAAGTATGAAGCTGCATTTCGGAATGCCTCAAAAGATGTTCACAGAAGACAAAGCAAAGACAAAATGTTTCGAACTAAAAAGAAAAAAACAAATGATAAGCAAAACTAAGTCAACAACTCCCAAAAATAAATGAAAAAAAGTTGAATACAAATTGTTGCAATATCTACAGAGATATTCGAAATCCACAAATCACAAAAATAAAAGCAGATACATATATATGTATGTGTATGAAAGATGCTTGGCGTCTTTTGGCCATTATAAATACTCTGTCACATCATCAAATTGTCATCATTAGCTTTCCGGCAGTCAACAACAGTGTTTTAGTAGCTTCTTATATTGCTCTACATTTAGCATTTCCTTTGCCAAAATGAAATTCGTTATCGTCTTTGTTGCCCTCTTCGCCGTCGCCATGGCCAACTCCGATCAAGATGCTCAAATTGTGCGTCAGGACACAAATGTAGAGCCATTGAGCTACCAATACGCGTAAGTGAAAAAGAAAAAATGAAAAAAGAAATTAAAAAATATAGAAAACAACTAATGGTTTTAGGAATTTAGCAAACAAAAAAAAAAAAAAACAAAAAAAAAACATTTACATTTTGACATCACCAATAATGATGAACGTGTGTTTGTGTATTTGTGTGTTTACAGCCAAGAAACCAGCAACGGTATCAGATCAGAAGAATCCGGCCAAGTTAAGAACTTGGGCACAGAACAAGAAGCCATCTCTGTTCAAGGCTCATACTCCTACGTTGGTGATGATGGTCAAACCTACACCGTCAACTACATCGCTGATGAGAACGGTTTCCAACCACAAGGTGCTCACATTCCAGTTGCTTAATTCATTCCATGAATGATGCCAACTGAAACACTGTTGCCTAGTTGTAAATATGTAGTTGAAAAGAAAATAAAAAATTTAAAAATCAAAAATAAATTAAATTTGAAACAAAAATGAATAATTTTTTATTAAATTTCAAATGAATATGGAGTAGGTCAAAGTTTGGCTCGGCAGCATTTTGCGGCCTCAACAATGAGACAAAGCGAATAAACAAAAATTAAACGTTATTATTGTAGTTGAAGAAAAAAAATGAAGCTAAGAATTTTGAAAGGAAATTTGTTAACATTTTTGTTGGCACTGCCAAATAGGATGATATTGCTTCGGGGAAATTGTGTGCAAGTATGTAATTCAAAAAAAAAAAAAAAAAAAAAAAAAAAATACTTAAAATGCTCTGAAATTTTTCGTTCTCCTATTACAGGTCGCAATAGCCGAGTGGTTACTAGTGTGTACATCCATTCAAGGGCAGGGTTCGATATCCAGTTCGATTATAGAAAATTAATGCTTCGATTTGCGGTCGATCTTCGTGAGGGGATTGTAAGCCCTTCAATTGTACACGTATATCTGACATTAAATAAAATCTCCTCATGAAATCCATCCGTTGTTCAGAGGCGGGTTAGAATAAACCATTAGAAAAATCTACACATACACCAAAAAAAGAAGAAAGCTTGAAGTTCAACATTTTTTCGAATTCCTGGTTCTGCCAGTTTATTTTGAATATCTCAATACATTCTACAATTTTTCAACATAAAACTAGTTTTACTTGAAAACGCCAACTTCAGTCAATTCGGATACAGAATCGAAGAGAAGAGAAGAACCTCACTTTGTTAGGAAGAGCAGATAAGGAATGACATTGCTAGACTTGGTGTCTCCATTCGTCGCTGAACGGTGAAAAGACCAAGTGACAATAGTACTATTCTAGACAAAGTACACGCGGCACCTAAGCTTATTAAGAGGAAGAAGAAAAAAAGCTATTCGTTGTTCCAGGAAAACCATAAAATCTTATCGGATAACTGATGTAACACATAGCGGAACAAATGTCAGATCCTACCATCAGTGTGTGATAGTAAAAATAAATAATACAACGAATATACTGAGTTCCTGTTGTTGTTGTTGTTGTAACTGTAAAATTATTCCCCAAAGTACTTTTTGGGGAATGTTGCGGGAGTGACAGTCCTTCCGGGTTGTTCCGGTATAAAGACCCGATTGTCGCGGGAACTATTGGATTTTAGTCGCCTCTTACGACAGGCATGCCTTAGCGCGGGTAAGTTATTGAGTCCCTAACCCGCAGGGGGGGATATTGAGTTTCTCATTCCCTATGGTTGAAGCTTGTGCCAAATGATAATATACAGGGATGCATTTTGACATAGGCCAAACTTAACTGTCAAATCAACCATGTTTTCTTTTAGTTAAAACTCGGCCGCAGTACATGAGTGGTTAGCATTGCGTACTGTCACTCGGAAGGCCCGGGTTCAAATCCTGTTGCGATTTTTTAATTGCGGTCGCCCTTAGACAGGGACATAAAGCAGAGGCTCCTCATAAACAAACCATTCCCTGCACGTGGAGAGTCTCCGCATTACATTAACCACTTCTTCGCGTGCCTCCTTAAACCAATTCATCTAACCCTCCTCTCCCTTCCTGGACCTCCCATTAGATGACCACGGCGACTTAGATTAATCAAACCTGTACCTAAGCGGGGTTAGCGAACCGCTACAACAACATAAAGAAACCATCAGCCGTTCGGCGACGGCTCATAATAAACTGTAGGTCGCTCCATATTGTCAAAAAATAAAAATCAAGACGCAAAAACTACAAATTTTAGGAGGAGCTCGGCTGATAATCGCTCCAGTTGTTACAAAGCGCCAATTAGATTTATGAAAATGGATCGCCTTATAAACGAACAACGCGTTAAAATTGTTGAATACCACTACAATAATATAATGGTTTTGAGGTGAAGAGTAGTTTATCGTCCAACTGCTCATCAAATTAGTAAAATTTTAAGGAAATTTTTAGAGATTGGATCCGCAGCAGATATTGTAAGATCTGTGCATTACCGTTTTGCTCGTTCCGCCTCAAATATCGCTTCTGTAAGTAAAAGTGTAGCCGAATGTGTTTATTTTTCGCTGTTTTCAAATGCTGAAGCTTCTTACAGTTCCCAGTTGCGTAGCCAAGCTCTTATTAAAAGAGATCGCCGACGATTAAGTGCTTGAACAACAACCAGCGTTTCGAACAAAATTTTCTTCAGCGATGAAGTATATTTCTCACTCAGGTAAATTAGCTAGATTTGTCTCTCTCTAGTACGCTCTTTGATCAGTAGGTGATATTGGACCTTACTTATTTCGAAACGACAACGGCGAGACTATGACTGTTATACGGAGCATTATGGTTGACTTTCTTGGCGATTTCAATTAGCTACCGAGATGATGCATTTTGTCACCGTTGGATATTTCTTTTTTGAAGACTAAGCAAAGACTATGCGAATAAGCTTTTAACTCTTGTACGCTTGCAAACCAACTTTTCTCAAGTTGTGGTTGAGATACCGCACAATATATGACAAAGAGTGGTCGAAAATTACCACAAACGGAACAAGGTTTGCAAAATTCGCGAAGCAGTCAACATTTTTATAATAAAAAAAAGAGTTTTCGAAACCGCAAAAGATATAACCTTGTACGATAACAGAATATCTCACGCTTGAAAATGTTTTTTAACGGATTTTTTAACCCAAAATCTTATAACTGAAATAATAGGTTTGTATGGGGGCTATGCATTATAGTAGCCCTGCGATTTTGATGATTTTCAGTGTAGAATTATAATTTGTAGATATGAATGTGTTTTACAAAATTTCACGCTTAGACGTTTTTTTTCGACAAATTAACTTGGAAATTAACTACTCAAAAACTCAAATAAGTATAGCTGTATACAGTACACTGTAGTCGTCAGTTTCGGAATATTTCGACAAATGATTCTTTAAATCCACCAAAGCATATGCGTTTTTGGTTTCCAAACTTGACTGAAGAATTTTTTTATATTTTCATTTTTTTTTTCTTTCTTATTTAGGATAAATAAAAAGTCAAAAATTAAGCTTTTTACTTCAGTAATCGATAACATTAACAAATTTTATTTATTTGCCTATGCCCGCAGTTCATGGTTTTGTGTTCTTCTTACATTTTTACTTATGTATGTACCTTGTGTGTATGTATTTGTGTATCTTCCTTAAACCTAGTTAACACAATGAATATACAAAATCGCTGGATATGCCCGCTCTATAAACGTTGTCTTCATTTTTTTTTCTGATTCGCTGCTGCTGTTTTTTGATGTTCGAACTTCTAGTCACAACTCCTATGGATTCGATGAGGAACGATTTTTAGACACGTGGCAAATGAGCGCCCTCCGGTTGGAAACCATTCTCATCAGCGACATAATTAACGGTATAGGTTTGACCATCATCGCCAACATAAGAGAATGAGCCGCGTACAACGATTGCCTCGTTATCAGTGCCGACATCCTTCAGCTTGCCTTCCTCTTCATGCAGTTTGCCGTCGCTGGTCTCAACACTGGAGCAGGTTTACGAATGGAAACAGAAGGTCCAGAGGTGGGTAAGTAGGTTACCGGCACAACAGCGTGATAGCCATGTATATGTAAAAGGTAAAAGGAAGAGAAGAAGAAGCGGTTGAATTAAGTAATTATTGTGAAACGTAAAATTAAAGATTCCGTTTGACCTTGCAACGTCACACATAGACGCAAGACAAAAACTTGAATTTCACTAAAAATGCACGTATGTGCGCAAGCTCACTTCCAAACAGTTAACCAACACACATACTCGCACGCGTAAACACACACACACACGCTTGCTCGGTGCCTGCCATCTGTGTGGCCTTTCATTATCACTTACAGAAATTTATATCCCTCAGGCTCCACATCGGAGTCGTAACGCAAAATCTGCACATCTTGCTGGGGCGCTGGTGCAGCCAAGACGCAGGCAATGCAAGCAGCAACAAATACAACAACGAACTTCATCTTCTTAATAAGATTGCGTAATCTTTGTGTGTTTTTAATGTGAATAGGACACGAGTTTTAACCCTTGCTTTGTATTTTTTTTGTATTTTATGCACACACACGCACACAAACTCTCGCGTTTATTTACGGATATGCGGATGATGAGAATGTAATTTCCGTTGAGGTGGGTTTAATAAGTGTTTTTAATAGGTCGAAGAGTTGGACGATTGGTTAGTTGGCCGGTTGGTTGGTTGGTTGGTTGGTTGTGACTCGTCGAGGTACTGAACAATTAATGCTTGGAACAGCCTTTTATTACAGACATTTTATACTCTCGCGTGTGCACGTCTTTAATGCCAGCAAAATATCTACTTACTCGCAACTGTAAGTATGTACTTTCAATCGTAATGGATGGCAACTCGATACACTCAACGGCAGAGTCACAGAGCCCAGCGCTCCGAGACAGAGACAGAGGCAGAGGTAGAGGCAGAGGTAGAGGCAGAAGCGGCAGTGTGAGCGGCGGATGACAACAAACGAACAACATTACTTACAGCTAATTGTAAAATTGTATATTAATACATACATACACACTTATGCATATAAAAGTACGAGTGATATATGTATTTATGCAGCACCCAACAGCACACGGCGAGTGTAAGAAGAAGCAGCGCTCGTGTGTTGTTGCCTTTGATGTGTTGTGAAGTGTGTGTGAATTTTGTAATTTTCAGCAACAGCATCTCAGCATCAGCAGGAATATTCATGCGAATTCATCGAAAGGTAGAGAAAATGCCGAAAACTTGTTTTCCTGCTTCTTGAGAGAAAAAATAAAATGTAGAAAAACTCTGGTAAATGCTTAAGTGATGGCACGACATGTTGGGTGTACACGATATGTCGAACTTTTATAAATTTATGTACTCATCCATGTTCATTTGAATTTTCAAAAAATATAAATAATATAAAATAAAATTTTTTTATATCCACATTTTTTTTTTTAAATTTTAATATTTTACTGGAATACTCCTTTATTTATTTGAAGCGAATGTATACTAGCCACCATCAAGTTGAGATTACTTAATTTGTTTATTCTAGATCTGCCTGGTTTCATAGGCGAAATTTGAAGTATATCCTACCCAATTGAGCATGGTTTTGATTACTAATTGGGAAAGACAAACACTGCTATGAGTTCCAGACTTTTGATTATAAAAGGAATATGGAGTTAATAACATTGAAGGTGGGAAACCAGGGATACACAAAGATCCATTTTTCATCGTTAATGTATGGAAATTTAACTTTAATAGCAGTTTTTAAGTCGAATGAGTTTTAACTGCCACCGGATCTTATAAAGGACTCTTCTGAATGCCTAAGTGCAGCCAGGCCCTCCTCTACCTGATATTTCTAATGAAACGGAAGATATCCTCTTCCTCTCTAGTTCCACCAGTGCGTACCACATCGAATACTTCCAAAGCTGGAGTGTTTTCTTCCATCTGAATGACATGACCTAAGTAACTAGCCTCCGTATATCGCGCGGAGATATGCATGTCCCGTTTATAGCGAGCATCCGACCTTATCAAACAACACACATCGTCGCCACACAAAGTAAATAAACAAGAAAAGCTAATAACTTTCTTGAAACTCTGCTGGATGCACGGCAGTGTAGCGGTTCAGTACAATTTATGAATGCCTTGTCAAACTAGGTACTGCTCTTCCTGATCTTTCCAACGGGCTTCAAGTGTTACTCTTCTTCTGCTTCCTTCCGTCCACTGTTTATCTGATGACATGATCTGGCCGGCATTGTTTCTTGAACTGTGTCCATTGCGTATGTCTTACCCAAATAATTATTCCATAGTCTGCGGGATTCGTTCGCACAGTCTCAAAGGACAGTCTCAAAGGACAGTCACGATACGGATTTTTATGAGGAGCTTTTATTTCATGTCAGCAATGAAAGTGGAAAGCTTGATCTTCTTAATCTCTCTCTGCCGAAGGGCGATCTCATAAAAAAAATTGATTTTCTATAATTTTGAATCTTTAGTTAGACCCGAACTCGAACCCCGGTAGTACGCAAAGCGGACCACAGGGCTATAGTGTGCCATATATACTCTTTCTCATGATCATCATAAAAGTCAAACCTAATCTTGTCTTCAATGCGGCCACCAAACCTCAACAAAGTATGATGTACTCTCAACTGAACTATACAAAGTGTGATGGCCTCTGCAAGCAAGCAAGCACACAAGCACATATATGTATGTATAATACACCGATACAAAAACTTACAAAATCTTTGTTCATTTATTCACCAGATGTCAAAAGGCCAAATTATTGTTTGCACTTGATGAGTGGTGATTGAACGAAAACCAAGCCAGCCGAAATGGCCAAAATGTTGGCAAATGTGCGAAGTGAATTTGCGTATTTGTGGCGGTCAAATAGGTTGGGCAGTAAGCGGCAGTGACAGCGGCAGCAGCAGCAGCAGCAGCAGTATCATCAACATTAACGGTACGCAGCAGCAGTCTTAGAGTTAGCAGCAGCAAATGTGCATTTAGTCAACTGCCAGCTGAGCCAATTGGCTGAATATTTATTTTTATTTATTTACTTTTTAATTTTTATTTTTTAATTTTTAATTTTATTTTACGGTACTAATCTTGAGGCGTCAGTCATTCGGTTAGTCATTCAGCTAAGGCAGACTCGCCGCCGGCAACTGCCATAACAGCCGTTGATTGTATGCTAACCCACTTCTATCGAAGTAAATAATAATCACACACACGTGCATATATATATAAAAGTACATATGTATATGTACAAGCAGAAATTTACATGCTCAAGCTTATAATCGCAAATTTGTTTGCTTGTAAGCAGACAACAATATCTCAATACTTACATACATAAATACTAACATACAGTGATGAGCTTTACCCGCATATTCATTTATTTGTATTTATATACGTATTACCTGGTGCAAGTTAACTTGCATACATACAAATATACATGCAATACTTAACATATACTTGTCGGACTATGAGTGCTCGTACTCTTTGTACCTTTTACCTTTCTGTGAGTATTCAATTCGCTTGCATACATATTTGTGCATCATTAATGAAAATTGTGATAATTTTAGTTTCTTCTAAAAACTCGTGTACATTCGTACGATTAAATAACAGTGTCAAATTCAAAATGAACTTAATAATGTTCAAAGTTGAATCAATGACATTTAGCGTTGTTTTATAGTTTCTGTAAATTTAATTAAAAGATAAATGTTTATGCTTAATTGCAGTTAATTAAATCTATTAATAATAAATATAAAGAATATTCGACTGCAGTGTTTCCACTTTGTGTTCGAGAATTTATTGCGCTGTTCATATTTGTGCGAGTTATCGTATACAAAATTGGATTGTTGAGGTTTGGGACTTTTTGCCTAATGTCAGCCGTTTTCCTAGACACCAAGAACGCAATAAATTTACTCGTTATTTTAGCAGTGTGGGACGGCGCGTTGTAATAATGCGAAAGGTATCACCGCAAATCGTTTTTCTTCCTGTTTCCCAAAGAAATTTTGAAAACTTTTGGTAAGCACTCTTTGGTGTATCATTTTGCAGTTACCGTCTGGCCCCTTTCCAATGGAGTAGGAGCTACGATTTTAGAACGGGTGAAGTAAACTGACATCAGTACTTTTGCTGATTTTTGTTGCTTAAGTTTTACGAGTGTGTTCGCTTCTGTTGGGCTCCATACCATGGAGTGGTATTTGGTATTTATAGAACCAAGATTCATCACCAGCAACGGCCTTATGAAAGTTGTTATGCTAACTATTTTCGAATTTGTTACGGTAACCATCGAGTAGATTTTTTCGTGTATCCCATATGATTTCTTAATATTCGCGAGACAGTTAGTGGTTTTCAAGCCCAATTCATTTCTTGTACCTATCGTGCGTTTTCGGACTTCTCCAGCGCTACAGTGACGTCATCCGTGTAAGATTTTGATCGACTTTCTCGGAGCTTGTCGTCTACGGAAAGATTTTCGGTCTGGAATCTTCGCAATCACTTAGAAATAGTCTTTTAAGACGGTGCATTCGTTACATATGCAATTTGGCAATCATTGATGATTTGTGATGGCTATAAGTGGCGCCGAAAACTGAAGAAAATGACATGGCGAACTTCTGTTTGCGTTGGTGGCGGAATTTCATACTGCTATTTGGAAGGCTTGGGTTCAAATTCTGGTGTCGTCTCAACTTCAAAAAAAAAAAAAAAAAAAAAAAATTACAAAAAATGTATTCAAAATAAACATTCCTCGGCAGGGAATGTCAACCCCTCCGAATGTAATTCTGACATGAAATAAAACTCCTCGCAAAAAACAACAACTAAGCGACCCGTCAACAGCACCATTTGATACATTAAATATCAGGTTTAGTGGTGCGTACTCCATCGTGTACGAATCGTGCTAGGACTCACATCCAAAGTACAGAATACAGAACTATAAATAAAAATAAAAGTTTTTCCAACTTCGAACGCCTTCTGAATTGAAAATAAACCTCCTCATAAATATCTGTCAGAATAAACTGTAGGTCAAGTGGCGTTCGCTGGAAGAAGCATGAAATCGGGAATGAGCTCGGTCGAAAATCGTTTCAGCGGTTACAAAAAAAATCTGAATGCTTGTGAAAAATTTATAAAAATATGAAATGAACTTTACGAGTGCAACCCTAATGCATGTCTTCTCCTATAAAATACTCGTTTGCCGATTGTATAATGGTAATGCTGACATATTTGTTCTTGAAATTTCTATATTTAATTTAACAAGTGAATAAACTGCACTGAAGGCAAAAGTGTGAACTTGAAACAAGAAAACGCATTAAACAAAGTGCGACACAGTCACCTACTGAGAAGTAATGGGAGTATTAAAAAATAAATTAATTTAATCCGATATTATAGCGAACGACATGATTGTGTACATTTGGCTGCATTTTTGCAGAATTCATAAGGAAAGAAATAAAAATTTAATTAAAAATTGATGTACAAGCATTTATACATACATATGTACATATATGTTTATAAAAGTTAACAAAAAAAGCACTGCAATGCCACACAATTTATTAATTTACTTATTTACACTCTTAACAAAGACTAGACAACCACATATGTATGTATGTACGAGTATGTATGCGATGTATGCGAGTAATTCATGCAATAAAAAATGCAATAATTTGCTTAGAAAATACAATTGAACTAAAATTTAACATCACAAATATATCTACATTCTAATATTTCAACGCATTTACATAGTTTTACATCACAACAAGAACAATGCCTAAAATTTATATAATAAAACCTAAATCGCTGGCTCTGGACCCACGGGCAAATGTGTGCCTTGCGGTTGGAAGCCATGCTCATCCGCCACATAATTCAGTGTATACTGCACGCCATCCGGACCGGTCCAGCTGACGGTGCCCTCGACCGATATAGCGCCGGCATGCTTAACTGTTGCTGTTTCCTTGCGCGACACGCCATCACTGGTCTCGAAGCTGTGATTGACGAATGCAATGCAGTGAATAGAAGAAAATCAGGTAATTAAAATATAATTTAATAAATTCGTATATATGTATGTGTACTTACGCAAAATTGTAGCCATTAGCGCCAACATTATCATTAGAGTAGTTCACAATCTGCACATCATCATCGCCGTGTGTTGCTGCTGCTGCTGCTGCTGGCGTTGTTGCGGTGGGTGTGGAATCTGGCACAGGGTTGGCGTTAATTACGCATGCGCCAATGCAGAGCAAAGCTAAAAACACGTACGTACGCATCATTTTCCGTTAAGTGAGATAACTGATAATAGCGGCAAGCGAACAGTGTTTTTCTTTCTTTCTTTCAAAGCTTGATTTGATTTATGATTTTTTAATTAAGTTTGTCGCTTAAGTCTTTTGTCTTTGTCAGCTGCTTGTACTGCCTGTGTTTGTTGCCTTTGCCTGTGGAACTTTCTGCTCGTGTTAAGTGTCTCGTGGCCTGTCCGCTGCCGACCTGTCTCGACCAGTACACGAAATCACAAATGCAAACGTTTTTTCGGGACTGTTCAAAGCCGACAACTGCGCAACAAAATGCGCTGCGCAATAGCTTTATATACTACTAAATGGAAATACACAAACAATATTGTTGAACCATAAAACGACAAGCGATTCATGGAAGAAGAAAGAAGTTTTCTGACTTTTTGTCTTAAAATAGGCAACAAATTTTATACGTGTACAATAAAATACGCAAATGAGAGCATCAGCAATATTTTTTTTTTAAATCACACAATTAACAACAACAACAACATGCATATAACACGAAAAAAATGAACTTAAGAAATTATAAAAAAAAAATTAAATAAATTAGAAGACGAACAGCACCAACCAATGACAAAGCGCAATCAAATCGCGCACAAATGTCGCTGCTAATAATATATGGTACGATATCAAAATGTTTGAATAGCCTCAATTGATTTTAAGATCTAGACTAATTTAGCAGCGTGTGACAGCAAAGTTGGTTTTAAAGTTGATTAAAAGCAAATCACAAACAAAGCTCAACAGGCCAAACGCTGCTCATCAAGCCAAGCATCGCAAAGTCGCTGACTTCGTCAAGTCATACGTTGCTGTTGCGGCCGCTGCTTCTTCTTCTTCTTGCTACTCTTGTTCTTGATGCTGTGACAACCGGCGAGTGCGATTCTCGTTGTTGGTTTATGGTTTCGTGTAGGTTGGCTAAATTGCGCGGCTATCTATACACGTTGTGCCGGCTGTTAAGCGAATGCGTTCAACTCACCAAAAGCGAGGCAATAAAAAACTCACTCAGAACTACCGCTAATAAAATGCTACGAAGCGGTAATAAGAGCAGAAAGCATTGACGAAAATGAAAGTTGAAGGTAAATGCTTTGTTAAATGCTACTAGTTTTGTTGTTGCGCTCAAATATTGGTTAAAATAATCAGTTAATATAAAGTTAATTTGACTAAAATGTAAGCAACATAAGATTTAAGAGCAGATATATTTAATAAAAAAAAAACTTAAAGCTTTAAAAGAAATAAAAGTTTCGTAAAAAAGAGGAAAATTTTAGAATTTCTTATGACTTTTGTACATCTCAGCATTCATTACTCTTTCGAAGTGCTTCCTACTTTTACGTTTGCTTTTAGTTATCTTTTTAGTTTTATTTTTTTATTATTTGCTAATTGCTTTTAACTATTTTCATCAATTTAGAGTACTGATCACTCACTGTAAATGTTTGAAAATTTTTTATAAAAAAAATTTTACAGCTGTATTTACTGTTAAATAGCAGTTCATAAGCTGTGTTTACCATAAACAAATTAAATTTGGTATTTCACATACTAATACGACAGCATAATCATATGCACACATATGCTTGTATACATACATACATATATGCAACCAATCAATATATCTACTTTAATAGTTATTTAATTACTTGTAAACAATTACACATGATCACGATTTTGTATTTTTTTTATAAACATCTAAACACATATTTGCATATTTTCTGGCATATTCATCATTTGCCACAAAGTTATTATATTTTACTACTTTGCTAATGATTTCCGATTGGCACACTAACATACATTCCTCGTCTGTCAGTCACAATTTTGTAATGATTAATTAGAAGCAGGTGATTATTTCGTTAAACGTCAAATTATTATTATTTTTTCTCTTTTTCAAATTGAGTTTCGTAGCAATGCGGAATGGTTAAAAAGAGAAGTTTGAGCAGAATTAATTTTGAAGTGTATAAATGATATTTTGTAAAGTCAAGCGAACCATTTTTGGATAGGAATTTGTTGTTAGTTTGTAAAAGAATTGCTTCATAAGTAAATTAATTTCTTCCTATTTTTTATTTCATTGCCTTTATTTTTATTTAATATATTCTAATTTGCTTAATTTAAAGTATATTTGCTTTATGCTTTTACTTTTTTTAATTTCCTTTATTTTAATTTATTTATTTTTTAATTTTTTATTTATTAAATGTTATTTTTTATTGCATTTCATTTACTTCCCCTTTTTTCTTTTATTTTATGGTATTTTTATATTTCATTTCACTAAGTTATTTATATTAATTAAATTTTTTTAAATGGTTTTATTTTATCTTACTTCATTTTATATTAGTTTATTTCATTTCATTTTACTTTTATTTTTTCTTTATTAATTTTTTTGATGTTATTTCTTTTAATTTCATTAAAGCTTAACATCCTTTATTTAATTTTTTTATATTAATTTACTCTATTATTATTTTATTTATATTATTTTGGGTTTTCTATTGAATTTTTTTAATTAAATAGTTATTATTTGTTTCCTTATTATTTATATATATTTGGTATCTTTTTTTTATTTTTCTAATTTTGTTGAATTTATTTATATTTATTAATTTTTTTTTAATTTTTTTGTTTTACTTTTTTTATGTTATTTATTAAAATTTCTTTCATTTTCTTAAATTTGTTTTATTTCATATTATTTAACTTTTTTTATTTTTATATCATATTTCAGTTTTTAGTTGAATTATATTTAAATATTTTTTATTTTAGTTATTTTAATTTATTTAGTTTTGCTTGTTTTTTTTAATTTTAATTCACATTACTTTTGTTTAAATTTGTTTGGCTTCAGTTTTTCTTCATATATTTTGGTTTAATTTATGTGCTCCCCAATTTCATTACTTTGTTTTATTTTATTTTATTTTTTAATTTCTTGTTATTTTACTATTATTGTTTGAAATGATTGAGTTTTCAAAAATCATTTTTATTTCATTGAATTATTTTTATTTATTTTATATTTATTAATTTAGGTTATTTTATTAGCTTTTATTTTTTATATTTTCATTGATTTTATGTCGTTTTTTATTTAATTTAATTCTGTTTTATTTAATTAAGTTTAATTTGTTTCTTTAGTACAAATTATTTCGTTTTTGGTTTGTTAGTTTTCATTTTTTGTTACTCAAAATAAGTTAATTTTTTAATTTTATTTTATTTTTGGTTTCAGTGAATTTATTTTACTTTTGTGATTATAAACTTTTTTTTAATATTCACTTCAATTCCGTTGTAAGTTTTACTTTATATTATTCGCTTCTATTCGATTTTGTTTATTGGTTTTTATTCAGTTGTATTATATATTACTCGATTTCCTTTTCTATTTTTCTCTCTTTTTGTGTCTATTTAACGTATTTGATTTTATTTTAAATTTCCTAATTATGTATTTATTTTTTCCTCTTGCTTTTTCGCAGTTAACCGATGCGTCAAAGAAGTCTTGTATATGACGTCAGTTAACACTTCTGAAGCGAGGCGTTTTTAATTTTTGCCAATCCCACAGTATGCCACCATGTGACGCAAAGCTGATCATTTAGCATGTATGTTATACCACAGCATACATACGTATTGAAGCCATAAGATTTGTCTAATTTAAATACAACATTGTAAATTAACAAACATTTATAGAGATTCTTAAGGTCAAAGATACCATTAACACGTTATAAATTTTTTACTTATATTAATTTGAAAATTGTGAAGATGTGGAGGAGAGTCAAACATACGTGTATACATACATCTATGTACATTTTTGGGCTTGCTCATTTTTAATTAAATTTATTTGAATAAGTAAAGGCTTTAATAAAAATAAAAATATTTATATTAAAATTAATTAACTTAAGCAAACTAAATACACAAATTTTATTATAATTTTAATTATGTGTAAATAATTAATTTTTATATAATATAAAGCTCTTAAGAGGTATATAGGTATAAGTAAAGATCAATTGTGTGCAGTTTACGCGAAAGTAATTTAAAAGAAACTCATGAAATAAATATTTATAATGAAATAAAAATCATCATAATTTCATACTAAGAATTTTTTTTAATATTATTTAATTTAAAATGATATAAATATAATATGCTAACCAAAAAAATAATACCATGCTAAAATTTAATACACCGTAATATAGTATTATATTAAGAAACAAGTATTCATGCAGCAAATATTTCCGATGTGAATAAAAAAGTATTTAGGAAATAAAGATATTACCAAAAAATAAAGGAAATATTAAATCAAAAATAGTAAAGAGTAAAACTGGTATGCACATATAAGTAGTATATTGTAATAAATATGCACCACCAGCGAAATGACGATTTGCCCACAAACATTTATGCTTCGTATATAATGAATGTGAGTTTGAAAACCTTAAAAATAAAGAAAAAATTAGTTAGCTACTCACCTTGATGCATCTGTAATTGAAGATAACCAAAATTTATAAACAAACGCCCCAAGCGCTCTCGTAGTGGCTGCTCAGCAGCGGATGGACGATATTTATATACATATAAGCATATATTAATGTATGCGCTTACGTGTATATGCGCATGTTTACATTTAAAATATGAATAATGCAGTTTGTGGCATTCTAAATTGGCTGCGGAAGTTGACATCAAAATAAAAATTTCAGTTTGGATAATAATCTTGTATATATGTACATTTTGTATGTAAATTGCTTATTTATAAAAAGCATATTTAAATTAATAAATAAAAACCAGGGAGCATAATATTATATTATCATCCGGATTTCGCTAACTTCCTTATTTACAAAAAGAGAAAAAAAAATTGAACTTTTTTTATATCATATAAATTTCTTCTTCTTGTTCTATTACTTAAATTTTATGAAAATTTTATTGAATTTTACTCATAATATACTCAAATAGAGTAGAGCAGCAGCAGCCGCCCTTCGTTTAGAGGAGTCAAAGCTACTCGATAATCTTCGGTATAGCAATTTCCAATAGGGAAGACCGGTCTTATAACTAACACACTCATTCGTGGTGTGGAAATACACCCGGGATGGAGCGAAAAAAGGATATATACTGTCATATAAAGTAAATTTACCTGGAATTAAAATGCGGTGGAAAGGAGAAAAAAGCTGTGATCTGTCGTACTCTACGTGTATGCCTGCAAATTGGCGATTGGTAAGTTTTGTGAATTAAGACACTCTATATGAGTATATTGCAAGAGACTGGCTGTGAAAAGTTGTAGTAAGACTCCTTATAATTGCATTGAGCTAGAATCTAGTGACCAGCACTCACCGAAAATATTATTGAAGGCAAAATGGACAAAGTTCAGCAACTAGTCTGCATCCTCAT